AAACTGCTGTAAAACATCATTTTTATTTAAGTCATTAAGAAGTTTTATTCTAATATTTTGGTGCCAGCTGACAATCTCCCTATTTGTACCTTTTAGCTTACCAGCCCAACAACAGAACTGAGCCCCAGTCACCCAGGAGAGGATGCAGTGGCATCTTTTGCTGATGTTGGATGGATAGCCGAAGAAGATGGAGAGAGCTCAACAAGACGAAGGTTAGTCTGGAAACCTATGAGAACTGAGATGGGATATTTATTATTTTAACAGATGTTATCTTTATGGTATTTACCTTTATAGCTGAATTTGGTCTCTAGTAATTAACCCAGGTTTTCTTTTTAGCACTCATCTGTACTGTTTATTTTAAAGACTCAGTATTTGTAAATTTCCTAAAGACATATAACTATTGTGTTCTTAAGAATTAAAGAATTCCCTGCCTGTTAGAAGTTCTAATATGAGAGGACTGTCATAAATATGTTTATATAAGCATAGTAATAAAATAGTATTATTGGTGTAGAAAAATCAGTGTGGGTTATAGTAGAAAATTTGTGTGACCTTTGGAGAATAAGTCCTAAAAATTCTGAATCTAAGTGGGTTATGATTCAAAGGAAACTATATGTAAGAGTTAGACGGGGACTTAACATTTATTTGAAAGAGCCTGAATAAAGTATTATTATGGCTCAAACTAATAAACAATTATTCCACATATTCAACTCTTCGTTCTTAGGCATTGAGGATACAGAGATTAAAATAAGACATAGTCCTAGTTTTCTAGGAATACTTGGTGTGCTAGAGGAGATTAAAGAAGAAAACAATAATAATACTGTAAAGTTGATTAAATACAGAAGGCCACTTTTGGATGAGAGAGGTTTGGCCAGGCTTTTCAAAGAAGGGGATGTTAGAGCTGAGGATCAGTAGGAGCCAAAAAGATTGAGTTCCTGGGTCTGTTGGTTCTTGCTATGCCCTGGGAGTGGTATCTCTTTAAGAACTCATTTTCCATTGGTTATACTCCTTTGTGACCCTGAGAGTAAGTAGGATCACTGGCTTCCACAGTCTGGTGATCCAGAGGTGTCCCCCGGTGTGGCTTAAAAATCAGGGTGCCTCACAAGGGTGTAAGCATCTTTTGGGAGAGATACTAAGTAACTGAACCGAGACAGAGGAAGAGTGCAAAGATAGCATCTACTGGCCTCTGTTCCCTGAGAGACTCTGTAGGCCTCTAGATTTGTGCCAAACCTGAAGCCTGTCCTTCAGGCCAGAGCTCCTGGAGGAGCAAATAGGCCTTCTCAGAATGACTGGGGATGTTTCAGTCTGCTGTCTGTACAGTGCCCTGAAGATGGTAGTTGGCCAAAACCTGTCTCTGTAATTTTTACGATCCTATGGGAATCAGGAATGTAAGACTTCCTTGCCTTCAGAGCCAGGTGATCAAGGGTTGTCCCCTGGTGGCAGCCACAAAATTTGGGGCATTAAACATAAAAAATCGGGCCACAGACTCAAATGAAAGAGCCCCTCTGGAAGATACTTGTCTGGAGCAGGGCAGAAGGGAAGGTTAAAGATGGTACCTGTGGGGTGCCATCTGAAGCTATGGGTAGAAGGTCTAGGGTATTTTTTTTTTCCCCCCTAGGGATGGAGGATGGCACTTACAGTTGGTGCCTGCCAGCCTCCATCCCCAGAATATATCTTAGCAGGCCCCTAGATGTGTAGGTTGGCGACCGCTAGGTTAGATGACTGCCTCGCAGGCCAATGCTTTAAGATTAGCAAATGAGACTTTTACATGAAGTCAAGGCAGGATCAGCTGCTTCTGTGTTAGACCCTGGGGTGAGTGAGTCCCAGCATGAGAGCAAATTTAAGGGCTATTTCTCATATCACTATGGCCTTGCGGATCTCTTGAATATGAATCCTGTTGGCTAGGCGTCTTAGTTGCTCATCTCTAAGATGCAGGTCTTAAAAGTTGGGGTACCCAATGTGTTCAGATTCTGCTCCACAGGAAGAAGCTATGGATTTTGAGTGCCCTTCCCAGTGAGAGTCACTTCTCCTGGGGTGTGGTTTATTAAGAGATTTTGTCTCAGCCTCTCCAGCTTTAGTGTTATTTTTGTTTAGTGCTGTTTTTATTGTTTGGTTAGATTTTACTTTTCAGAGGAAAGTTCCATACATAGCTGTAAGATTTGGTGTATTCATTGGAGGAGGTGAGTTCAGGATTTCCCTAGTCTTTCTGTGTTGCCATCTTGAACCAGAACTCAGTATTCCTAGGTATGGATGGACCAGTTTATTTCATCACCAGTTGGTGGACATTTGGCTTGTATATAGGGTTTTTGAATTAACGTAAGTTTTCATTTCTCTAGATTAAATGCAATTTCTGAGTCATGTAAATCATAGGTGGTTGCATGTTTATTATTTTAAATAATTCTTTATTGTTGAAAGTATTACATATGTCCTTTTCTCCCCATTGACTCCTCCAGCCCACCCCTGGCTCCACCCTGGGCCATCAGCACCCTATTGCCTGTGTCCATGAGTTATGCATATATGCATATAAGGTCTTCAGTTGATGACTTCCCACCTACCTACCCTCCCTTGCTTTCCCTCTGAGAACCTGTTCCACATTTCCATGTCTCTGAATCCACTCTGTTCATCAGTTTATTTTGCTACTTATATTCCACATGTGAGTGTGATCATGTAATATTTGTCTTTCTCTGACTGACTTATTTCACTTAGCATAATACTTTCCAGGTCCCTCTCCATGCTGTCTCAAAGGGTAAGAGATTCTTCTTTTTTACTGCTGCATAGTATTCCATGGAATAAATGTACCACAGTTTTTTAACCACTCATCTTCTGATGGGCACTTGGGCTGTTTCCAGATCTTAGCTATTTTAAATTGCTATGAACATAGGGCTGCATACATTCTTTCTAATTGGTATTTTGGGTTTCTTAGGATATGTTCCTAGAAGTGGGATCACTGAGTCAAATGGCAGTCCCATATTTACTTTTTTTTGAAGAAACTCCATACTGTTTTCCATAATGGCTGCACCATTCTGCATTCCCACCAGCAGTTTCCTTTTGTCCATATCTTTGCCAGCACTTGTCATTTGTTGATTTGTTGATGGTAGGTATTCTGACAGGTGTGAGGTGATAACTCATTGTTGTTTTAATTTGCATCTCTCTGATGATCAGTTACTTGAAGCATTTTTTCATGTCTCTTGGCCACCGTATGTCCTCTTTGGAGAAGTGTCTATTTAGGTCCATTGCTCATTTTTTAAATTAGATTGTCTTCCTTTTGTTAAGTTCTATGAGTTGCTTATATATTTTGGATATTAACCCTTTATCAGATGTACCATTGCCAAATATGTTCTTCCATTACAGTGTGCTCTCCCTTTGTTTTGTTGATAGTAGTTTCTTTTGCTGTGCAGAAGCTTTTTATTTTGATGTAGTCCCATTTGTTTATATTCTCCTTAGTTTTTCATTATTGTAGGAGATGTATCTATAAACATATTGTTATGAGAAATGTCTGAGATTTTGCTGCCTTTGCTTTCTTCTAAGATTTTTATGGCTTCATGACTTACATTTAAGTCTTTCATCCATTTTGAGTTTATTCTTATGTATGGTGCAAGTTCGTGGTCTAATTTCTTTTTTCTTTTTTTTCCTTTTTTTGCATGTATCTCTCCAATTTTCCAAATACCATTTATTGAAGAGACTGTCTTAACTCCATTGTATGCTCTTGCCTCCTTTGTCAAATATTAATTGAACATAATGGCTTGTATCGATTTTTGGGGTCTCTATTTCTGGGGTTGGTTACAATGGCTTTGTAGTATAACTTGAAATCTGATATTGTGATTCCTCCAACTTTGTTTTTCTTTCTAAAGATTGCTACAGCTATTCTGAGTCTTTTTGATCCCATGTAAATGTTTTGAGTATTTGTTCTAGATCTGTGAAATATGCTGTTGGTATTTTAATAGGGATTTCACTGAATCTGTAGACTGTTTGGGTAGTATGGACACTTTAATGATGTTGATTCTACCAATCCATGAACATGGTATATTCTTCCACTTGTTTATATCTTCTTCTATCTCTCTTTTTTTTTTTTTTTCCAACATCCTGTAGTTTTCCAAGTACAGGTCTTTTGCCTCCTTGGTTAAGTTTATCCCTAAGTATCTTTTTTTTTTTTTTTTGGTTAAATTGCAATGGTAAATGGGATTGTTTATTTAGTTTCTCTTTCTGATAATTCTTTATCCTATACACTGAGTGGCCAGATTATTATGATCTCTGAACACATAATAATCTGGCCACTGATTGTATATCTTATATAATAAAAAGCTAATATACAAATTGTCCCCTCGACCAAGAGTTAAACCAGCAGGCAGGCTGGCTAACCACCCATGTCCCCACCCCCTGGCCAGGCTGGTTGGATCCCACCCATGCACGAATTCATGCACTGGGCCTCTAATACACATGCACACACACACACACACACACACACGCACACTGGCCAGATTATGTTTTGTTTTTTTTACTAAGAAGAAGGGAAAGGAATGGAGAGTAAGAAACATCAATGAGAGAGAAATGTTGATCAGCTGCCTCCTGCACACCTCCTACTGTGGATGTGACTGCAACCAAGGAACATGCCCTTGATTGGAATAGATACTGGGACCTTTCAGTCCGCAGGCCGACACTCATATCCACTGAACCAAACTGGTTAGGGCAATTTCCTTGTTAATTTTTTGTCTGGAAGATCTATCTAATGAAGTCAAAGGGGTGTTAAAATCCCCTACTTTGACTGTATTGTTGCTGATGTTTTTGTTAAAGTCCTCTAGAATTTTTTTTTATATATTTAGGTGCTCCTATATTGGATGCATATGTTTACTAAGGTTATAGCCTCTTGTTGGGTAGATCCCTTTAGTATTATATAGTGACCTCTATTACCTGATATTTACTTATTTTATATACAGTGTCCAATATTTTTAGTTCTAGTTGGCAGGGAGTTAATATAGTTAGATGGAACAGTACATCTGCTTCTTCCTGGAAAAAGAACTTTCTAAAGATTTTGTGTGTGGTTTTTTTATTTTTTATTTTTAACACAAATGTCCTATTTGCACTGGATATGACATAATGCAGTAGTCATGGGGATTGTGATTATAATGTACTTGGCATAATGGCTCTGGGTAATGGGATTGTGTCTGTGATGTTGAAAGTAATTGACTAAAGGGTCTTTGAAGAGGTGCCTGGAAGTACCCTAGGTACAGATAATCGGAACCTGGACAAAGTGAGAAGGAAACAGGGGAGCCCTAGTTGGATTTGAATGTTGCTCTCAAGGAGAAAGTTGACAGACAGTGATTTTCCCTCAAGAGTTCCAAGGTCAGTGACATGGTCCATGTGATTAGAAAAATTAGGCAAACTTTCTCTTACAGTATGGTGTGATAGTACTCTGTATTGATTGTGCAAACTGTATTTGTACATATATCTCGATGGCTGGGAAAGGTATTCTCAGTGTTCTCTCCCCTCCCCCCCTCCTGCTAATACCAATAAATGGGCTGATACACCTACATCTTCCCATCTGCCATGGAAAGGGAGCTTTAAGGAATCTTGCCTTTATCAGTTTCACACACCAGAAAAATAAATATATTGTATAGATTGAAGAAGTAGCAAATTTACTCTTTATTTTAAACAATAAGACAGAGTAGAAAGAAGGATGAAAGTTGATGGAATTTTACTTTGTCTTGACAATTATTGAATACTAGTACTCTTACCAGGCAATTTGAGTTTTTATTTGTCACTGATATTAATGCCATAGTATTGTGTCTCTGGGGAAATAGCACACATTAAGACTCTTTCATAATTAATTGTATAAATGATTGTTTTCAAATGCACTGAAGTTCAGTTCGTTTGTTTTTTAAATGTATTTTATTGATTTTTTTACACAGAGGAAGAGAGACGGATAGAAAGTTAGAAACATCTATGAGAGAGAATCATCAATCAGCTGCCTCTTGTACATCCCCTACTGGGGATGTGCCAGCAACCAAGGTACATGCCCTTGACCGGAATCAACCCAGGACCCTTCAGTCCGCAGGCCGATGCTCTATCCACTGAGCCAAACTGGTATCGGCTGAAGTAGTTTTTTTTTAAATTTCTAAATTGTATTAATCCCTACCTTCTGTGTAGAATTTTTAAAGATAACATGAGACAACCCTTAGCAAAGTGGCATGCACACAGTAAGGCCTTTTTTTCTTATCTATGCACATTTTGATTTCCCCTTAAATGAACAGAATGGCCTCAGAATTAGAAATCTCACTTTTATAAGTACTGAAAAGTACTTATATAAGTACTTTGAAAGAATCTATAACTGATTATCTTGTCTAAGATAATAGATTTGTTCTCTTTTGTAATAAAACCCTAAAGGGACTATGTAGTTTTTTTTTGTTGTTGTTATTGTTTTTTAACTGTTGTACAGTGTACTGCATTTTATTTTTTAAAAATATATTTTATTGATTTTTTTACAGAGAGGAAGGGAGAGGAATAGAGTTAGAATCATGGATGAGAGAGAAACATCGATCAGCTGCCTCCTGCACACTCCCCACTGGGAATGTGCCTGCAACCAAGGTACATGCCCCTGGCCGGAATCGTACCTGAGATCCCTCAGTCCACAGGCTGACGCTCTATCCACTGAGCCAAACCGGCTAGGGCCTGTGTATTGAGTAGTTTTTTTGATAAGTACACAGCATAATACTTGCACACTCTTAAGTATGATGAAATTAAAGACTCATATAAACGCCGTGGCTTCTAGTAGATATCATAGATATTGTCATGTATTAGAGTAACTTTTGGAGAAGATCATTATTTAAGGGATATTGAAATATTTCAAGTTGAACTCTGATTTGGTCATTCTATGTTACTACCTTCATTTCTAATTTTTCTACTTCTTGAATCTGAGTGCCTCATACATATCAAACTGAGTATTTATTAAAAGTTTATAGGTTCATAGGATTGAAGTCCTTACAGATAAGCCCTTTCCTTACACCAGGATGTTTGTATTCTAATTGCCAAGATGAATAATATTTACAAGAATTGGTAATATAAGGGTAGTAACTAAAGTGAGAATAAGGGCTTTTAATTTTTCAAATTTGAATATTAAGTGTAAAATGGAATGTGCTATTTTTTAAGGAGAGTTGGAGAAGAACCCAAATCTCATAAAGTATGACTATGAGTAACTAGATTCCAAAGGAAATGACTCAGCAACCAGGCCACAGTTCAGTAGGTGCGATTGAGTGTAGACCAGGAGATTGATCCTCTCCCCCTCCCCACCTTGGGTTGGAGCAGGAGTTTTCCACTCACAACAAACAAACAGGTGTTATTCTATCCCGTTTTATTCTTAATTACTAGTACGTGACACAAGACATTAACTGATAATGTACATCACTAAAATACTAGATTCAAGGCAGAAACATTTCTATTAAATGTCATTTTTAGTAAAACATGACATAAAATACAAGAGACTTGTGTTGAGTAGAATCTACAACAGCTAATGTGATGAATCCAGTAGTGCTCTGGGTCTGTGGCCTCCTAACAGTTCTGCCAACTTTCCACTATAAATCCTTTCAGGGGTTACCCCCTCGGTCAAAATAATCTCCCCAGTCCAGTTGCCTTTACTCGGCTACTTGCTTTAATTAAAAAGATTGTTAGGCCCTAGCCAATTTGGCTCAGTGGAAACGGGTCGGCCTGTGGTCTAAAGGGTTCTGGGTTTGATTCTGGTTCAGGGCATATGCCTGGGTTGCTGGCTCGATCCCCAGAAGGGGGTGTGCAGGAGGCAGCTGATAATGATTCTCATCATTGATATTTCTCTCTCTCCCTCTTATATTAAATAAAAAAAAAGATTGTTAGTTTTATACCCAATTTCATGTTTTCAGGGAACTAAACTGGATCCTTTTGACAATGTGTTTTTATATCTTTCTAAGCTATTCTCCAAACTAAAAATAATTTTGGGAATACCACTTTTCCTAGGACACTGGGCTAATTTGAAACAATCTCAGCTTTTGAGTTTTCATTAACCGTGAATAAGGGGAAAGGATCCCATAAATATAAAATGTTTTTTAAGCTCCACTGGCCATTTAAAAAAATTCTAAATTCCATTTAATTTAGAATTTTTTAAAATGGCCAGTGGAGGTTAAGAAGCATTTTATTTTTATGCAAGTTGTACTCCAAAAGAGGCTGTCCTTGATACTAACATTGAAAAGATGAGAGAGATAGGTAAGTTGTGTGTAATGTTACTCTGCATAGGAGCCTGTACTCTTCTGCCGAAAGGCATGTTGGAGCCATAATCAAATAAGGGGGGGTGGGGGTGGGGGAATCTCATCAGGAGAAGTTGGTGTGAAAAAATTGTGTTAATCCTCACCAGAGGTTATTTTTCCCATTGAGTTTTAGAAAGATGGAAGGTGGGGGGAGGAGAAGGAAGGAGAGACACATCCAATAGTTGCATCCTTCATGCACCCTGACAGGGAATTGAACCCATGGACCTTTGGTGTGTGGGCCAAAGCTCTAGCCACTTAACACATTGGCTAGGGCAAGAAAATGGTTTTTAAAAATAATCTTATTTTGGCTGTTTGTCTTCTGCTTTGGGGGCATCAATAGTTGATACCGCTTTATAGTTTTGCTTCTTAAATTTTTTCTAAATTATACACACAAAAATCTGAACAGCATTCCTCATAGATTAATTGTGGTCTCTGTATGCTAGCTCTTAAATAGCCCCCTATTCTGAAGGATGACAAACAGACTAATTCTGAGAATGGTTTATTTGTTGACTCTTTACAGAATAGATGTCTGGGAAGGATGTGTGTGTTTTTAAAGCAAGGAGTTTTTGTAAAATTTTTATAAAGTTTAGTTTTTCATACACAAGGAAGAATATTACATACACAAGGAAGAATATTACAGAACAATTCTTGTTTGTTTTAGGCTTCAATAGATGTCCATCTCTTGTGTCTTTTAAAGACATGACCATTTTAGGAGTACTTTAATTTTTGGCTTCTAAAAATCCACATTTAAACTTATACATTTTCTATAATTGCTTTGAACTATAACCATCAACAGTATTTCACATAGAGAAATGCAGAATCTATATAATCAAAATTATAAAAATAGCATAGTTATAGAATATAGGTGATCTGACACTGTTGCTCAAATCATTTTACTAACAGCTTTTTTCCTCTTACGCGGGCATATTGATATTCCAGATTGACGAATGCTTTGTCATTAATTTCCAGTAGATGGAAAAGCAAAAGGATAAAATTCACCTGTAAGAGGGGAGATGTAGAAGATTTCTTTTTTATTTTTTAACATTGCAGTTGTTGATTCAGTACTCAATTTTCTCTTGCAATTTATTTTTGGTAGAAGATAATTTAAGGAGAATAAGATGGTCAAACATGTGTAATAATTGATCTTAATCCATATTGTCTTGTTCCAGTTTTGGATAGTTTTACAGTAAATATTAATGGGATTTGAATGATAATAGTTAAATACATACTTCTAAGCATTTGATACTTTTGGACCCTCTGATGTCTAGAATTTTAGGTGGGGAAATGTTCTCTACTAAAGTGACCACTAGTTCTTGAGTAAACAGTATTGTAACTTTTTTTAGTAGCACAAAAGATTCTTTTTAAAAGAAACCATCGCCCTCACGGGTGAATATCTTTGGTATAGGACCATGGAACACGGGGTGGAGGGTAGAGATGAGTCTGTATGCACAGGTTCTGTTTCTCTCCTCTGTTCCACTTCCATCCGCTGTCATCCTCCAGGAGCCCTCATTTTGCCCATGGTGGCGGGTCCATCCTCCATCCTTAGCACACCACTTCTGACTGGTTCCTCCTCCTCATTCAGTCTCAGCTACCACTAGTCTTCCATCTTTGTCGACACTGTTGTTTTGAACAAGAATATTATAATTCTGCAGTTGATATTTCATTGTATTCTACCCAAGACTAGAGTTCTGTTACTACCACTATCTGCAGCTTCCTTAGTTTTTTCAAGAAGTTGTTTTTAAGAAGTCATTGTGAATATAATTGAGTAAGTATATTACATATTAAATATCTCACATACTGATTAATTACTCTGTGTAAATATTTCCCAAAACTTCAGTAGGTGGATTAGTTTCTATTTGTAATTTAATCTAGAGAACTATTCAACAGAATTTCTTGATCTATCCTATGAAAGGTAGGTAGAAATCAGAATTTAGCCTATTGCATCAACAAAGAGCCAATGATTTCTTTCAAAATATTTTATTGTAGGTTGATTAGAGCAAATGCATGTAATCACTTTTTATATAATCTTTCATAGAATATATATATATAATATTTAATCAGGTTGTTGGTACTATTCCTTATAGATTTTTTTTAACCTTGTTTAATCTCATGTACTTTTTTCAAAAAGAAATTTTATCGCCCATTCCTTCCTCTTGTTATAGATATGAGATAATTGAAGCTTTGCAAGCCAAACATATATTCAATACAGCTTTATTTCCCCCTCTAAAATCAATATGCATAAACTTGGGTGAGGATTTTAAAAAATGCCAAGGGCTTAAGAGAATAGGAAGACCTAAAGAAATCTGAATTTTATTCTCAGCCTCCAAAGACTTCCATTGGGAGCTGCAGAGCTGTGCACATTAAAGTTTTTACACCTAAGAGATTATATTGATTTTTCCCCCCCTTTTCAGTTTCTTTTGTATTTTGCCCATATTGTTACAATGTGTTTTGTAATTTGGTATATTCTATCATACACAGAAATACTGACATTGAATTGCAAAAGCCAAGATCCTGGGGAAGGGCTAATGCATTACTGATATGAAGTACAACTAGTAATTTATCATTTAAAAGAGTATTAAAAGGTTTCTTAGTTCAAATAAAAGGTTTCTTAGTTCAAATAAAACCAAATATGAATTAGCAAAAAAACATTGTTGGAATCTGTGATGCTTGGACATATTTCCTAGTGATTCAGAAGAATGGCCACAAGAACCACTTTTTAGGCTGAACTTACATAAATCCCCTCCTTTATGGACATTTTGTGATTAATTGGCAGTGTTTTTTATTTTTCTTACAAAGCCTGTGACAGCCACCCTTCTCTCCTTGCAGGACAGAGGCCAGGTCAAGGCAGCCCCTTCAGGATGACATTCCTTTCTTTGAGAAACCCCCAAGCCGGCAGCTTTCCTTACCAAACCTGTCTCCGGAAGAGCCTCCGCTGAAGACGCCCCTGGCGAATGAAGAGGCGCTGCAGAAGATCTGTGCTCTTGAAAATGAACTCGCTGCTCTCCGTGCTCAGATTGCCAAAATTGTGACCCTGCAAGAACAGCAGACTCTTACCGCAGGTCTGTAAGTCCCACATTGGTTTTACCAGCAAACTGGGAATGGGAAGCATGTAGCTGTAATGTTAGAATTTATTGGCAAATAACAGCTGTAACTGGGAGTCAGTCCTCTGCATCGTCTAGTCCAGGCCCAATCAAGCCTAAGTGGTTTGTGTTTGTTTTGAACAATCTTGAGGCTATCAGAGAGGATAAGTGGGTATATTTGGAAAACACTGAAATTCCTGCACTTGAATTACTACCACAGTGAATGCTATGGGGAACTAAATGGCACTAATCCGCTCAGACAGCCTGACAAGGCTGAGTGCTATTTACTTAACCAGAAGTCCCGAGGCAAGTACTTTCCCTTTCCTGCTCTAAAATGGGACCACAGTAGCTGTGTTAGAGTTACCACGGGAGAAAATATGGAAATTATTATAAAATGCCGTTAGCCCAGAGCAGAATCTGAATTCGGGTCCTCTGACTCCTAGTCTAATACTGTTGCTTTTATTTGTGTGGCATTTATCACTGAAGAAGAAACCATAGACTTGAAATCCTAGTCCATTAACCTGTTGGCAAGCAGTTGTTTTTCCTAGTGTTGTTCCAGAGTCCTGGCTAGATTTAGGATGAAGCAACTCTGTCTAAAGGATAAGGACAGTACAGTTACTCTACCTCTGAGCCACTTGGCTTGTGCTCCTGGAGCTGAATGTAATCCAGCCTTGTAAGGCCAAGGTGGACAGAGGGCAAATGCACTCCCCACCGAATGCTTGAGGAGTAATCATGGTAAATGAAAAACCAAAATCCTGTCCTTTTCTTCCAACCTTAAGTTTTGCTTGACCTCCCTTTCCTGGCAGACGAGGTCAAGTGCCATAAATAGTGAAATAATTTGGGGATTTATTTGGTGGTCTGTTTATAATAAAAACCCTGAGTGAGACTTTTTTTGCATCCCCCAATGTAATTCACCTAAAAGAAAACTCTCCTCTAATTGTGCAGAAAGATGAATTTTAGGTCGTCATTATATAACCACTTTTAGTTATACTTAATTCCCAAAACAAAAGTTAACTTTTTCCCCCCCAGAAGTTTGTTCAGTTAATTTAAATCCTTTCAAACACATTCCAGTCGATGGAGGTGTATAATATTTGTAACATTGTATATGTGAATAGTGTATTTAAAATGAACCACAAGTTTATCCAATAGTTTAAAAAAAGTTATAGTCCTAAATTATATAACTGTATATAATTAAGATAATTATTTGTGCAGCACATACTATATTTCATCTAAAAGGAGTTACAAACTGTGCCACAGTCAGGCTTGACCATTTGATATCACAAAAACACTCCTGTTAAGTTAAATGGAACTTTTCCATCTGGAGAGTTTGGGATTAAATGATACAGTGACTGATTTAGATTTTAATCAAGTAACTGAAAGTTTCTTTATATAAAAGTGCTTAACATGATTTACAAATTTTATTTGCCTGTTACCATCAGGATTAAAACTGATTTTACCTTATTTCTGTGGGTGATTTAGATTCTAGCACATCTGTTACCACAGCACCACCTTCTGTCCCACCACCTCCCCCGCCGCCACCCCTCCCTCCACCGGCGCCTCAGCAGAACTCATCTGCTGTGGACCTGATCAGAGCCCGGAGAGAGAGAAAAGCCGGTGCTGGGAAGACGCTGGATAAGCACAGCCCAAAGCAACCTGCTGTGCCCAACATGCTGGAGATCCTCAAAGACATGAACAGTGTGAAGCTTCGGTCAGTAAAAAGGTGAGGCTGCATTTACCTTCCCTCACTTTGTCTTGTTAAAGTACTGGGCTTCTTAAGATTTTCGCTTTATAATAAGACTATTATGAACAGTTCAAGTTTTTAACTTGTAAAAGATGGGCCCTGGTGGCTCCTTGCACAGATAACTAAGAAATTAGCAAAATAAACATTTCCAGATTACTTTTTAGCTCTTTCCCCTTGCATCTAAAACCTTCATTCGTTAGAGTCTGCACTGCCAGTCATTCACTCCGTAAAGCCATGCTGTGTACACTATGGCAGTCCTGGGCTTCTGGAACAGAATGGAGCCATACTGGCCCTGAAAGAGCATGATCAGTGCCTTCAGATGAACAACTGAGTGGCTGTTCATTGGGCCTGAAATCTCGGGTTCCTCCTCACTGCTAGCAGTGTCTTCACTGTCAGCCTACTGACCTGTCCCCTTGGTTTCTGCTCACTTCTCCAAGGTCAGAACTAGATACAAAGCCCAAACCTGTGGATGCTACTGACCCTGCTGCCCTCATAGCAGAGGCTCTGAAAAAGAAATTTGCTTACCGGTACCGAAGTGATAGCCAAGATGAGGCTGAGAAAGGAGTTCCAAAGTCTGCGTCAGAGGCCACTTCAGAAACAGTGTTGGTGAGTATGAGGTCAGGCTTCTTTCCTGGTTCAACGTAGGCAGTAGTTCCAGCCACTGCTGAGCACCTCCATTTTACAAGCCAGTCCGCTGTGTCCTCTGCAAGATTCAGAAGGACTTAATCTTTACCAACAAGCCGATTACTTACAGAAGAACACAAAGAAGGAACCAAAATTACCCCCTGGTTTCACTGCTTAACGTCGCCAATGTTAATTTTTCATGCTGTGTTAAGCATAATGAAGTCAGATTTATTAAATAAAATGGATATGGTTGGACTATGTGTTGTGATATATAGAAAGATAATTTTTTCTTAGGGCAGGTGCGCTGAGAGTTGGCCTAGGCCTTGTAGGATGTGTCATAGGTGGAGAAAAGCTCCCATAAAATCTGCCCAATTCCTAATTTATACATTCCTTCTATTGAAGCTACTGTCCTGGGGGACACCTGCTATCTGGTCCAGAGAGATAGGTTAGAAATTCCAGCATCATTGAAAGTCTTTATAGACATTGAAAAGTAAACATTGAGGTACTTCCTTCTTTTACTCACGAAGTAAAATTGGACTGAGCTAGATCTTGCTAAGATGATGTACTTTTCTAGGAAGCAATTTGGTCAGCTCTTTGCCTTTCATTCTGTTGATATTTATTTGCTTGTTTTTTTTTTTTTTTTTTTCATTTAGAACAAATCATATAATTCGGAAAGGGGTGTATCATCACTGTCATATGAATCAATATATTTATTTATACTTTTTGTTTGTTTTCCAGTTTGGGCCACACATGTTGAAGTCTACAGGAAAAATGAAGGCTTTAATTGAAAATGTTTCAAATTCCTGAGAAACCTGGTTCAGCTGTTGGTTTGTTAGGCCTGTTTGGCTAATAGAAATCAACAATGTTTAGTAAATACCTGAATTTAACATTCAGTAGTCTCCTTTTAACTCTACCTAGAGGATTAAGCACTAGCAAGGCACTCTTATCAGGTCAGTTCTGAAGTTTTCCAGAACATACTTATATTCTGATGTAATGTTTTTAGTGTATAGTCATGATGTTTAGGCTTCCAATTTTGAAAACGATATGGATTTCAGAATGAAGAAAGGACATTTGTAGATGGACATTTTCAACTCTTAAAACTAACACTAATTTATCTGTACAAATGTTCCATATGCATATATTTGGATACAAGGCAGTCTGTAAAATTATATAATGAGGGTGCTGCTATTTATTTTCATTGACCATTTTACTAGTCATTGATGGAAGAGCTGGCATGACAGTTTTTTTTAGAATGAAATATTGTTAGAATGAGATTGGAATCTTCTTACCTCACACAGAACTTTTAGTTAATCTTGGGATTCCCTCTCACATTTTCTTGGAGATGGGATTTGAGTAGGGACTCTTGATAATGCTCACAGCCGTCCATTCTGAGGAAGAAAAGGTAGTTTGCAAATAGGGAGGAATCAAAGCATTGAATTAAATCTTTTCAAACAAAAACCAGAATATTCCATCTTTTTCTTTGTTTAATAAATGGCATCATAAAAAATGACTTGTTAATACTTCTAGAAATTGTTGGCATAATGGAATTTAAAACTTTCAACATTGGTCAAAACGAGTAGCTTTAAAATGGAACACTGAATAGGCAAAAACATGTCTTTTAAGGTGTTCATCAGAATGCTGTTCTGTTGAACTACATTATGCGCCATAAACCTCAGCTGTAAGAAAGTGCAGAACTGCCTTTCTTACCTAGTGCTTCTAATGAATTGCTACAAGTGATCATTTTTAAATACTTGATAAAGCTTCATGATTTTCTTTATTTCTGATAAACTCAGCTTGAGTTAATGCCAGAATCTCCTACATGAGTAAATAGTGTTTGAAGTTGTATTTCCTCTACGGGGTTGGAGATGAAAAGAGTAGGTAGACCTAAATTTTAAGTTATTGAAAATATGTGCAATGTTTTAGATGTTAGTAGATATTAGTTAATTTACATGGTTTGGTTATTCAGCTTTAATTTGAACTGCTGTTGATGTACATTGTTTCTTATGTTTTAAAAATTCTGCCCTTAAAAGAAATTCATAAAGGTCACTTGACACACATATTTTGACCTCCTAAGAAATTTACATTTGTATCAGTATTGAATTTGGCCAGTGCTCCAATAGAAGGAAGTTACTGTTTAAAACTTTTTCCACGGACCATGAAGCCTGTACATGCATTTAGTATGTTTTTTATGATAGGTAAGATTCTTTTATATTACACATGGATCTTCTTAGGAGTAATTTGCTTTCTACATTTTTCAAGTGGAAATGTTCTTAGAATAAATTATGTTGTCTCTCATTCACTTTTCTCAAAGGAATTTCGCATTAAACAGGGCAGTCACTTGGGGTGACTTTCCTCAGCATTCCACCCTATTACCTCTGGCGTCGGTGTCATCTTTTTTTGCCTACGCCCACTTCCTTCAGTTTCTGGTTCTCTCTTCTAACACAATACAGAAGAGAATGATCTTAAAAATAGTTTAATTCTGCATTTTATAGCTGAATTAAATTTAAGTAACTGATATAATGTGCTATTATAATTCTGACTAACCCAGGGCTCACTACACACAAATATGAGTCAGAGAAGATTGGATTTGGATTGTACATGATCTGTGCTGTGTGACCCTGGCCAAGTCACAACTCTGTTTTTAAAATGGGACTAATGCTTAGTTCAAAAAATAGTTGAGATTAACTGAAATAATGATTTTGAATACACGCTGGTAGAATGTAAATAAGTTGTGACTTACATCATTTTATACGAGGTCACTGGTTCCCATTAGACTGAATTCTGGCACCTGCACAGGCTTAGTCTTTAGTTCTGGTTGTGTCACAGGCTCTTCTGCAGAGGAAGCCTGTTCTCTTGCTGTATTAAGAATTCCTGAAAGTGGCAAATAAAACATCAAAAGGTAACAAATTCCAAAAACGAGTACTTTGGAAAAACCATCCTCCTGGTAACTTACCTAAAAATAGACAATCTCTTGGTTAGAATCTGGCTGATGGAAGCTGTCACAATCATTTCTCATGGGCTTTCAGCCATACCTGAGTCCTTTCCCCTTCTCACCTAGAGATTCAACGTTCTGAGCTACCCCACTAAGGCTATTAAAATTCCCTTTAATTTTTCCTTGTCAATCTTGTAAGTGGGCTAGTTCCTTATTGGTACCAGTGCAATCACTTGAGAGCAGATAATAAAAATAGCATCACCAGAGAAGGATCCAGAAATGGAGTGTTTCCCTCTGAGACTGTCGTCCTTAACCCACTTCCTACGTGTTCGATGCCTGAACGTTCCCGCAGTGGGGGCTTCTCCGGCAGGTGCTGCAGCGCCTTCTGAAGTCACAGACGGCGGGAGGAGAACATGCGTGTCAGGCAGACATTTCAGGAAGGCACATAACCAGGAAACCACGTGGTGCCTCCCGTTCCACACCAAGCAGCTACCCCTCCTGACCGCTCTCCTCCTAACACCACAGGGTTTTGACTGGAGCTATGAGAAGTCTGCTGTTGCCGGTGCCTGATGGCCATCCCTGTTCTCTGGCCGGGCGTGCTTTCTGTCCAAGGGTGAGAGCCACTCTGGCTGGGAAGCCGCCTGAAATGCTGGAGTTAGCAACATGGGTTGGGGAACACGTGACACTGACCTTGGGGGTCACGTTATCTGAATACTCCTCCACCCAACTCGAAGGCAAACTGCCCAGCACCCGAACCTCTGCCTTCCCTTCCGGGAAGGGTTACTCGGTTACGTTCAGACTGGTCAGTGACCACGAACACAGCTCTGATAAGCTGGTCTAACCAGAGTCGCCTTAGGCATTTGAACAAGAAACTTGGACAGAGAGGGCCGTTGGTACCTGGAGCTCAAATTAGGATGTCATGTAGGTCAGCTATGTTCCTGAGCCATTCCTACAAAACATTACGAGGGCATGAATTAGGCCATTGGTTTGGCACATAACTATGTATCAATACATGACTTTTAAGAAACATATTTTATAGGTTAGGAAGCCACTTAAAAGATTAGGTGACTTGTCTAAGGAGCTCCAGCTAATAAATGACAAAAAAAAAAAAACACAACACCCCAGGTCTAGCTATAAAGACAACACTTTTCAAAACGATGTTATGCCGCCTTTTGAAGCAGAAATGCAAGGTGAAGAGAGGAGAGAAGCCAGATGCATGGGAGGGATGAGCAGCTCCACCTTAGAATGGCCAAACTCACAGGTTTGTCTCCAGCCCCACAAACACGGATCTTTTGGATAAAGCCTCCGGAAGCCTGGAGAAATCTGAGTGCAACTCTGTTCCCCACAATGGAAAACCTCCTATCCTGTGGTGAAAATGCAAAGTTTGACTAGGAACTTTAAACATTCCTTTAAGGGCACTTCGAAAAGTCTGATATATAGATTTCAGCTAAAATAAAGAACTTGGGATATCATGCCGCCTCCTGATTCTTTATAGGAGATGGCTCAATAATAAACACTTAGCCCGCCCAGTGTGGCTCAGTGGTCGAGCATTGACCTATGAACCAGGAGGTCAGGGTTTGATTGCAGGTCAGGGCACATGCTTGGCTTGTGGGCCCAAGGCGAGTGCGGGAGGCAGCTGATCAATAATTCTCTTCATCAAGGTTTCTCTCCCTCTCTGAAATCAATAAATATATATTAAAAAACAAAAATAAATTTAAAATTTATGCTGAAGAATCTCAGCTAGCTGTGGCTGGGAGGCTAGGTTGGTTGGAATGTTGTCCTGTGCACCAAAGGTTGTGGGTTCAATTCCCAGTCAGGGCACATTCCTAGATTGAAGGTTGAATCCCCAGTTGGGGCTACAGGCACCAATTGGTGTTTCTCACACTGGTGTATCTCTTTTTAAAAAAATCAATAAAAACATATCTTCATCATCATAAAGATTTTTTAAAACTCATATAGTGCCCTAGCTGGTTCGGCTCAGTGGCTAGAGTGTTGGCCTGCAGACTGAAGGGTCCTGAGTTTGATTCCGGTCAGAGGCACATACGTACCTCAGTTGCAGGCTTTACCCTGGTCTAGGCTCTTGCAGGAGGCAACCAATGGATGAGTTTCTCTCATATGGATGTTTGTCTTTCCTTCTCTCCCACTCTCTAAATATCGGGTCTAGTAATAATGTCGTTTTTAAACATTCGTTTAAAATCTTGCTTGGCGTTGACTTGTATTGACATAACCTTCAAACACGTGGTATCTACAGAACGTGTGAAGTGCAATTAACAAGTTTTGCTTGAAAAAGTTTGTGTTTGGTTTGGTTTTTGTTGCAAAACTAGGGCTAAGATGGCAAATGAAGAGCATATTCGGCACTGTATGCTTTACGAGTTCCAATTTGGAAGAAAAGCAAGTGAGGCTGCAAAAAACATCTGTAGTGCTCTTGGTCAAGATGCAGTTAGCGCCAGAAAATGCCAGCGTTGGTTTGAGAAATTTCGCGAGGGAAATTTTTCGTTAGATGACAAGAGTGGTCGAGGCTGTGTGTCCAATTTTGATCAAGAAGCTCTTCAAGCTCTTTTGGTGCAAAATCCTCAAATTACCCAACAAGAGCTTGTGACAACTTTAAATTGTTCACAAAAAACAATTTCCAATCAATTGCGTGCACTTGGCAAAGTCCAAAAGTTTGGAAAATGGGTTCCTCATGAGTTGACCGACAACAACTGTAATCAAAGAGTCACAATTTGCAGTTCGCTCCTCTCTCGTCAAAACCGTTTGCCGTTTTTAGAGCAAATTGTTACCGGAGATGAAGAATGGGTGCTGTATGTTAATTTGAAAAGGCGGCATCAATGGTTGGACAAAAATGAGGCTCCGCAGCCCATGCCAAAACCTGACTTGCATGCGGAAAAAGTGATGTTGTGTGTTTGGTGGAATTTTAAAGGAATTCTTCATTATGAACCTTTACCATCTAACCAAACCATTACAAGTGCAGTGTATAGTGCCCAATTGGAAAGGTTAGCCCAAGCTTTAAGAGAAAAAGAACCCACTCTGATTAATTGGAAGGGCGTAATTCTTCACCACGATAACGCACGACCGCATACTGCAAGAATCACTGCTGAAAAACTGCGCCAGTTGGAATGGGAAGTTCTCCCTCAACCTGCATATTCTCCTGATATTGCCCCTTTCGATTACCATTTGTTTCGTTCTTTGCAAAACTTTCTTCTTGGAAAAAAATTTAATAATGAAGAATGCCTCAAAAATGCATTGACCGAATTTTTTGCATCAAAATCACAAGAATTTTACAACAGAGGGATTAAAATGCTTCCTGAGTGTTGGGCACAAGTAGTAGAAAACAACGGCAACTATATTGTTGATTAAATTTTGTTGTATTGTTTAAATAAATTCAATTTAAAAAAGGTATTAGAAAACGACATTAATTATTACTAGACCTAATATTAACGGGAAAATATCCTCAGGTGAGGATTCAAAGCAGAACACACAGCCAGCACCACAGTGAAGACCCCTTTGTATTTCCTCTGAAATCACCTGCTTAGACATCAGTTTCTCTGCTCCACACACGAGCACTCCCACGAGACCCACACATCAGTTTACAGGGGAGGCGAGGTCGCGGGAGGAACAGGGACAGTGCCTGTAGACTTGGCTCCCTGCCACGGGCTGAGCCAGCCAGCAGCCCCAGCTAATGGAGAGGTGGAGGAGTTGGGGTCCAGCCCCCAGGGGGGACAGAGGCAGCAGCAGCACTGGTGCCCCAAACCTGGCTCCCTCCCTGGGTCGTGGCGGAGCCAGTAGCAGAGCAGAGATGCATCCATGGCTTCTAACCCTAGGGAACCAGATGAACAGCGCATGGGTCAACCCCCCACACCATGCCCTCCACAGGGTGGTGCCCTGAGACCCAGGTGACCACACACAGCAGGGGCACACAGGTAAGAGAGAAAGTTGTCCTACAAACAGCCATTTACTGAAACAAAAGAAAGACTTCTCAAGTATCACCCTGAAATAAGAAAGGTGCTCACTACTTCAGATGCACCACATATTAATCACACGAACAACCAGGTAACACAAAGAAAACGACAATTCTTCAGCAAACTCAACGCCATGGAAGCCTGTGATGTAAATGCCAGAGGATTCAAAACCACAGTCATGAGATAAACCAAGGAGAGCCAAGAAAACTCAGAAAGGCAGTTCAAGGAGCTCGGGAATAAAATTAGTGAACAAAAGTACTTTACCAAAGGGACTAAGACAATAAAGAACCAAAGTCTGGAGCTGAAGAATTCAGTAAGTGAGATGGAGAATGATTAGAAAGCACTGGAAGCAAAGCAGATAATATGGAAGAAAATGAATGAACTAAACCATTCATTCTAAACACTCTGACACATTGCATTCATTTGTATAATATGGAGACTTGCCATACTAAATAACAAACACTTCACACACCAGTTTGTCACCCAAAATACTTTGATAACAGAGACCATGTTCTGGAACTTTTAATACCTTTATTACATCCAGCGCAGTGCTCTTTACACAACAGGAACTTGGGTATTGCTTACCACATAACTTCAGCACAAACAGACTAGTTTCAGTATAATTTCTCAATGACAGCTAAAAAGGAAACGTAGTTAAACCAGCAAGTCATTTATTCAGCAACCAGTTTACGCTAGCCCTCTGCTGAACACCAGACAAGACGGAGACCTTGTCTCCCGCCCCCTGCCCCAGACACACACCAGCCAGCTCACCCCGTCATTCCACCGTGGACCTCTGGGGCCTTCCAGAAGAAAGGTTGTCTGCAGATGCACAGCAAGCAAGGAGCGGCTCAGTCTAAATCTTGCACGTATCTGTACAAACTTAGGCTTCCAATGCCTGCCGATCCAATGGTATTTAATATGCACATTTATTTAAAAACATTACTGAATGCACAGTAGCTATCAGTCATATATTTTTCCCAAGCAACGAGGTACCGATTAGGAGGGGATTTAAACAAAATACTTATACATTTAAAAAAAGTGCACATGAAAACATTGTAAATCTCTGATGTGGAAGTTTTAAAGTTTTAAGAAAAGTGAAAGCTTTAAGAGGCAAAGCATTTTGAAAAAAGACTGTTACAGGAATCTTCAAAGAATTATTAGCACCTCTAAACCTGTATGTTAAGTACAAATATATTTCCCAGGTTTGCAAAGGACATAAAGTAGTTATTTTATACAGAGAATCATTATGAACCATCACATTTATAGAGTATAAATACTGACAAAAACCAGATATTTTCTCATCCAGCTAAGGCTTTGCCAAAAATGTCTCTCCAAGGACCTTGACCCCCACGCATAGCAGATGCCCCAACTGAAGAACTGGGCCTGGCATCCCAATGGACTGCTACGCTATGTTCAACAATTCTTTGAAGTCTCCTGTTTTTATCTTTAAATTTTCGCAATCCATCCCATAATATACCTAATTATTTCAAATGTGATCTTCTAAATTACTGACCAGTTTTCTCAAATTTTTCTAGGAAATTCATGTTCAAGGAACAAAGGTCATATTTTAAAGAGCAGTATAGACAGTGATTCCCTCATATATATATATATATATATATATATATATATATATATATATATATGTAAAACGTAACAAAAAAAAAGTTTATTATATGTGTTGGGCAGGAAATGAGAGCAACACTGAGAAGTCTTCCCCCTGAGAGTGGAAATAAGACAATCCTTTGAATATCAGTAAGAAACATAGTGGATCAGAGCAAAAGCCATTGATCAGACACAGGCAGATGGAGCCCAGGCCAGTTCAAAGGAGACCAGGCTGAAGGTACTGACATGTCTATGGAAAGTGCCAATCAGAAGCTGATGCGGAGCAGCAGCGAATGGCAGAGAACCTCTAGCATCGTCCGCAGGAAGAGGGAACCCTGTTCCACAGACAGTGCACCGGCAGGTGTGGCCCCACAGGGAGACAGATGTGTGAGGCAACTTGCGTCCCTTGCTCAGAATCCATGCTCACCAAGTAACCGGCTGAACACAATCGGGCTTCCCAAGAAGATCTGCCTAAAGGGAGAGAATGATTGACAGTTATATGTCACCAATATGTAAATGTAAATATTAACATTCTTTAAACGCATCAGTTACTGTGAGCTTTGTTCCTGTGAGTTTGCTATGAGATAGTTCCCCTCTCCATTGCTGACACACCAGGTCTATGAAGCTTTAAAGGTCTCGGATGTCGCCCTATCCGGTTTGGCCCTATGGATAGAGCACTGGCCTACAAACAGAAGGGTCCTGGGTTCGATTCTGGTAAGGGCACATACCCAGGTTGCAGGTGTGCGGGAGGCAACTGATCAGTGATTCTCTCTCATCACTGATGTTTCTCTCTCCTCCTTTCTGAAATAAAAAAACAAACAAACTTGGATACATCCAATTTACCAAGGTGATGCCACCTCATGACTGGCCAGCTGACTTTTCTCAGGAACATCCAGCTTTGCCACCATCAGACTTCTGTGCCCACACAGTCTCCTATGGTAGCCACTAACTACCCCACATGGATATGGGCATTTGAAATGTGGCTAGTATGAACATACACTATAAGTGTAAAATACCACATTTCAAAGACTGTACCAAAGAAAAGAATTTAAACAGTTCAATTGCTTTTTATAATTATATATTGAAATAATTACATATATATCACATTGGAATAAATGGTATTTTTTTTTTCTTCTTCTTTTTACATGTGGCTACTAGTAAATTGGAAATCACTAATGTGGCTCACGTTATATTTCTATTGGGTGTCACTCTTCCATGCCGATGACCACAGTGGGGTTTTAGAATCAGCACTGCCTCCCTTCTACGGAACTGGCCTTGGGAAGATACAGAAGAGGCCCAGCGGTACCTTTCTGACGTTGATACCAATCAAGCAGAATTAAGCGGCCGTTTCTTATTATTTTAAAAAAGCCAATACAAGCAGTACTGTAGTACTTGCAAGAGGTGCTGAGTCGTATGCAATTTCCAACTGTGGGAACAAAAGGCTGTGTGGGGTCAAGAGGTCTGGGCCCAAAAGCTGGCCTCTGAGCAGACGTGGTCCCAGGGCCTCGGCCTGCGCAGTGTGAGGTGCGGATCACCCAGAGGGCGGTGCCTGCACCAGCTCTGCCTGAATACACGTCTGATGTGTGAACGCTACCAAGAAGCTACGTCTTTGACTTCCTGGACACTTAGCATTATGACTTCCAAAGGACTGATGATAAGGTAAATATCAAAGATAAAATGTGAAAAGGTAGCTTTTTATTTATCAAAAGTTAACAGCAACAGGCACATATTAAAATGAGTATGGCAAAGCCTTTTACAAATGGCTTCACACTCAAGCTTTCTCCCAAGAAAATGGCTGTTGCAACAAACTGTAAACATAATTGATAAACAGTCTTTTACAGTAACAAGGGAAATACAATGGAACTAAAAGAAAGCACTGGTTTTTCTTAAAACTAGATTACAGTTGTGCTTACTATACATAGAACAATTTAAAACAAATTACAAAAGTGGAATGTTTTAAGTTTAAAATTAGTCCTTAGATTTTTGTCCTAGAAAACGTCTGTTCACATCAAAAGGCCCATCAAAGGGTCGCGTTTCATCAAAAAGGGGAGAGGGGGGAGACGAGAAAACAATGCACTTTTTTCAAATCATAACAGGAAGTTTGGTCACTTAGCTTTGTGCATAGTTTAAGGCAACTGGAGCATCCGTCACAGCTCCCTCCCCCACCCCCCGGGGGCTGCCCCTCACGGCACATTCTAAAATAAATAAGAGTGTCCATGTCCGATCCTTTCCCACAAGGATAAATAGAACACATGCATAGTCACACATGCACAACATGCACACAGACACACATCCGCCCATCCACACACAACATACCTCTCACTGCAGCGAAAGGGGCTTTAGTACCTTGCTCTGAAGGGCACACTTCCCCATCCCACTTTATTTCAGATTGGCAATACCCTGAGCTGATTACGGTGTTTTACACATTCCACCTTTTCTTGCATGTGCAGGTCAAGTGTACAGTAGTGAAAACAACATGCAATGTCTTCACTGCAGAATCATAATACAGCTAGGACACGGGTGCGCTGCCCTCCCGCCCCCAATGAAAACTAAGCGTTAAAGGAAGGGCACTGCCGACCAGCCCTGGAGGGAGGCTGGGCGCACGCTAGGACAGTGCAGTGTTCAGTGCACAGACAAAACCAGAGCACGCGAGGGCTTTGGTGGCATCCAGAGGAGAAGGAAGGCAAACCAGGGGAAAGGAGCTGCAGTGTAAAGTTTGATCTGTAAAGTTCTTAGTGGTTCCTTAGCAGTTATGCTCCAAGGCAAATGTAGAACCAGAATTTCAGAGTGGATTTGTAAACATCAAGTCTGGCCAGAGGCAGCAGAGCTGGGCACTTCACATTTCCGTTTCTCAGAGAACTCAGTGGGAGGTACAGACACACAGGCTGCATGAGACTGGTTAAATCCCGAGAGATTTCTGCTGACAGGTTCCGTTCAAGTTTCATGTTCAAAGAGTAAATAAATGCTTTGAGAAACACCTGGCACTCCGCAAAGCTTCCTTTGTCTCCTTTCGGATTCACGCCTGCTGGGCTTTGCAGATTCCAGGTTTCCCAGGAGAGCCATATCCATATTGCTGTGTTCAGGTCAGAATTAAAAAGTGGGTTCAAGTGACCGACAGAGGAGATCCTGGCATCATCCACCCGGAAACCTTGCAGTCGAGTCAGTTCCCTCACCTCCAGCCCCCACGTCACGTTCTAACCTCCAGGAGGCAGCCTGTCCTCGGTTCTGGGTAATGACAACCGGTTTCCTGAGGTAATAACTATGAGTTCAGCTCCTCGAACGCAACTTCGGGGTCCTCGCTGCTGGGCAGTTCTCTCTGCAGCCCCTCCCAGCTGGCTTTGTTCAGCCCCACGTGTCCGAGCATCGTCTGGGACAGCCTGGTGTTGGAAAACCTGGCCCACTCTGTGAATAAAGGCTCCACTAGGTATGTCATAAAACCTTAAGGAAAAAGAGAAAAAGGTATCAACGCATGTTCTGAAACTTTATTTTTTTAAGATATACTTTTATTGATTTCAGAGAGGAAGGGAGGGAGAGAGAGGAACATCACTGATGAGAGAACCACTGATCAGCTGCCTTCTGCACGCCCCATGATGCGGATGGAGCTCGCCAACCTGGGCATGTGCCCTGACTGGGAATCGAACTGTGACCTCCTGGTTCATAGGCCGACGCTCAATCACTGCACTACGCTGGCTGGGCTGAAACTTTATCTTTAAAAACTTTATCTCTTCAGTGTTTACTCTCAAGTCCTATTCCAATGTTATCTAAACTTTATTTTTCAAAAGGTTTTGTATGTATAAATTTAAAAGTCTTTTCTGAAGAATCTATTTCTTAAGCAACTTAAAAGTGAACTGACAAACATATCAATCTTTCTGACTCCTCTCAGCTGCACAACCACGTCCTGTTGTCAAAGCAAAGAGGCCATGCTGACTGAGGGGCAGAGGCCATGAGGGGCCACTCCAGCACTGCGGGGGCGAGGCGAACTGCAGGGGAGCTGGGTGACCCCTCTGTACACCCTCAGGGATGGTAATCTTCACACCTAGTCATGACTAAAATAAGCCATCTTATTTAATTTTTTTAATCCTCACCCGAGGATTTTTTCTCATTGGTTTTTTAGAGAAAGTGGAAGGGAGAGGGAAAGACAGAAACATCGCTGTGAGAGAAACACATTGACTGGTTGCCTCCTGCATGCACCCCGGCCAGGGCCCGCGCTGGGAGGAGCCTGAAACCAAGGCATGTGCCCTTGACTGGAATCAAACCTGGGACCTTTCAGTCCTCAGGCTGATGCTCTATCCACTGAGCCAAACCGGCTAGGACTATAAGCCATTTTATTTAACTTAGGATTCACATAAGCCCAAACTTCTGACAAAAATTATGAGTCTAAAAAGAACACAGAAGATTAAAGCAATTATTAAAGTGGACATCAAAAGTGTACCAGGGTCCTACTTTATAAATAACTGCTGTACTGATCTCCTTAATTCGTAGTCAGAGGAGGAAAAGGAGTGATTCGGGACTGTCTGCATCTTTAAACAGCACTCCATGCCCTTTCTATCTGATGTAATGCTCAAAGTCTCTTACTCGGGGGGTGGAAGCTCCCAGAAAATGCCTCATCAATGAGAAAATATACATTAGGAGAAACAAATACATTATCTTCCTAACCTTTCATCTGCTAAGGACGGGGAAAATGTACATCCAAATTCTATCGCTGCTTATGTGAGCGGCTTTTACATTCTCTTCTTCTCTAAAACCTTGTCTTTGCAGCAAAGACCATGTTGACCACAGACAACAAATTAAAGCCAGCAGCACCCACTACTTTTACTTAAAAAGTCAGATATGGTCTGACGGTTGAATTTTCTTAAGAGTACAAATGATGGGATCTGAAAAAGCAGTGAGGAGCGGAAGTAAGGCTTTCTTCCATTTCTTCGGTTCCCTCCACACGAGCTGAGCGCCTGCTCTGTGCCGGCCCAGTCTGGGTGGCCGGAGGGAGCAGTGACTAGGGCTCCCTCGGGAGCTGCATCTGGTGAGGAGGAGACACACACAAGATGCCCACGGCCCCGATGGGCGGCTCTGGGCGCCGGCCTCACACGGCGGCCGAGCTCAGGCACGGGCGGCGGGGCTTTTGCACCAAACGCAGAACCTCGTGCGCGCGGGCTTCCCGCGACTCCTCTTATTTGATTCTCCCACTTGTTCCTTACCCATCCCTGCCCCTCTGATAATCCTTTCCAGAACCTTCCAACACTGACCTGACCTAAGGAACAGTTTAAGGCATCTGGCTGCTTTTCCTTTTTAAATATTGCAGCTTTCAGAAACCGCATTTGCCAAGTTCTCCCATTTGCTCGGAGTCCTTGGGTCAGCAAAGCCGTTTGCAGTCGCTACAGTGAGTGACGACCGTCCACCGGGCCCCGCTCCTCTGCCGACAGCCGCCTGCTCTTCCCCATCTGGAGACCAGTCCCCTTGGGAGCCGGAGCAGACAGATCCTCGTCCGTCTTACCCCCTGAAACCTCAGCCGTCCTGGCTGAGCCGCGGTCCCGCCCCTTCCCACCGACCCCTCTCCCCGCCCTCCGCAGGCAGGTCAGTGCGCCCTGTCCTCCCCACGGCCCTCTGCCATTAAAGGAGCCACATTTCCGAACCTGAGCTGACAGAGTCCTTCTCAGTCTATGCCACAGCATCGCGCTATCTTCTGACTGTCCGGAAGCTTTGCCTTTCTAAAATCTGTGCACACATTTCACTACGTTCAGTCTAATTCTCAAAGGCCCTAGTGCACACCAGTGACCAAAATCAGTCATTCCTCGAACCCTTGCCGAGTTACCCGACATGCCCGTCTGTCCTCCACCACTGCCCAGCGTCCATCACAGGAGTGCCCTGCCCGGGGCTCTCCGTGCCCGCGCCCCCAGTGCGGCCCAGGGGCGGGCGCAGGGACCGGGCCTGGGGCCGCAGGGCGCTGCCCGCAGAGGAAGGTGCTCCTGGAGGCAGGACGAGGGAGAGGAGCCCTGAGCTGAAGGCGCAGCGGGACGTGGGGACCACGGGAGGGTCCTCGGCTGCTCTCGGTGAACGAGGGGTGAAGGCTGAGGGACAAATCGAGGCCAGATTTCCAGAGGCCTGTGCCAGAGGCGAAGGAACCACGAAACCGAGAGGCCGTGATCGCCAGGAGGAGGAAGCAGTGCAAACTGCTCTCATTACACTCAGCTCAGCGGTCACCTTTTCACGTCCCACAATTACACAAAAAGCGCCTTTCCATTCTAGAACACACAAAAAAGGAGCTGTTACATGTTTTGAAAAATTATGCTTTTTGCAACCTGTGGTCAAATAGAGTAATTATAAGAGCAAAATACCATATTTTTCGGCATATAAGACGACCCCCTAATTTTACAGTTAAAACATAGGTTTAGGCCTATATTCGCTGTATAAGACTACCCCCCACTTCCGAGGCAACACCAGTTCTTTTTTTAATAGACCGCCTCTCTGACTCTGGCCAATCTGAGCAGGCTTTTACTAGAGCACAGTGTAGCTTCGGGTACAGAACATGTATAATTTGCATGCATAAAAAGCCTGCTCGGATTGGCTGAGTCAGAGAGGCGGTCTATTATAAAAAGAACTGGTGTTGCCTCTGAAGTGGGGGGTAGTCTTATACAGCAAATATAGGCCTAAACCTATGTTTTAACTGTAAAATTAGGGGGTCGTCTTATACGCCGGGAAATATGGTAAGAGTAAAATTTTAGATAGTTTAAGTGAGCATAACTGTAATATTCTGTGTTTCAAATGTGTATCTCTTTTTCCTGACAAAGTTCCAATCAGTAGCATTTTTCTAGTTGCCCGTATCCACGTATAGTTACCAATCTGGATGTTGGCAATATTCTCAGTCTGACGATCACAAAATGGACTAACACCCAAATGATACTTCTTCTCTATGTCTCCTAGAAATTAACAAAAGAGACAGAACCATTAATGTGGAGCATACCTACTGTCTGTAATCAAAGTCTACATCTTACCTGTCAGCTCCCCAAAAACAGGCAACACATTTCCTCCCGAGAGAAAGCCTCCCGGGTGCCTTCACACATAGCAAAGCCCATCTCAGTCAGAGGACTTTTACCCAGGGTTTTACCCGAACACTGCAGTTCTGCCAGCATTTTTATTTAAATCTTAGATTTCTAAAGAAAGGTGCATGAAATGAAAGATTCTTGATTCCCAAGTTTAAAGCACAAAAACGTCTTATGTGTTCGTATGGCCACGCCCTCCCCACAGGACAGGAGGGTAAGGTCAACGAAGTCTTTCATTCAACAAAATTTCCAGCCACATTGATGCCGATTCATAAAAGCATGCACACACATCCGATGATGTGAAGAAAATTAATTTTCAAAACACGCTCAGTCTGTACATTATTGGATATATGTTCATCTACTGTTAATTGTCACTAAAAATTTCAAGTATCTACCGCTGGCCTCCTATAAATGTCTGAGTTATTTTATTCATATAATGCTAAGAAAATGAGCTGAATAGATTCAATAGTGTTCAATACTGTAACTTGCCTTGATGGAAGAATTCCTCTGTTACTTTTTCGCTCCACTGCTTGCTTAGTTCCCAGGTCCGACATGGGTTACAAATATCAGCACATTTCAAAGCCATCTAGCAAGCAAAACAGTAACATCGTGTTAAGAAAAAAGTAAAATTCCAAATGTAGTAAGTTTAAGTCTACTCTAATAGTGGCAAAATAACACCTTAAAGAAAGGAGAAAATTCTGCAACAGGAAATTCACTTTTTATATTATTTTTATGACTAACAGGTCTACCAACCATTTCTCCAGAAATGCTACAAGACTGCAAACCTACTGCACAGCCCAGCTCAAGGCCTGGGTTACCAGAAAGTGACCAATACATCTCCCAACTCCCCGTCCATTTTCTTCTTAAGTTTTAATAAGTGAGAGCTTATTAACATAAAATGCTCTTTGAAAACTGTTTTTGTTAGGAATCCCGAGTGCGAACAATGCAAATCATTGGTGCTCTCCGGGGGAGTGGCTCTCCCTCCGGGAAGGAAACCCACAGCTTTCTCTCAAGACTCAGCCACTCTGCACACAATTTCAGTCTAACAGTCACATGATTTACCTAGAAACAGAAACTTCCCAAGCCCCATTTACCTGTAAAACCAAGTGTCTATGCCTGACATCTTCCAGGCATAAGTCGCCTCTATCCAAATGGGACCTAAACAACGACAGATACTCGTTTTGGCGGCTGATGTCTGTGGCTAGTATCAAAGCACCTATCTGAGTCTCCATTTGTTTCCTGAAATTAGAAAAATATAAAAAGAAAATACGAGACTTTCAATTAAATAGTTACTTATTAATTTTTTCTTAATATTCAGAAAGCTTTATAGAGGCCTGATATATTCTAATTGCCACGCAGCTTTTAACCTATTACAAAAAAATGAATTTTAAATAATGCATAAATAATCAAAACTAAAAGCAAGACTTTGTAGAAAATACTAATATGCAAACATTCTCAAAAGAGTGCCTTTTATTTTTCCAGCCTCGGTGGAATTATTTGCCTATAAAAAACAATAAGATAGGTATATTTTCTGTGGAAATTCTTTGCTGGGATGTGCTGAGGGTAAACAACTCTGGGTTTCTTTTCTGGTGCCTGAGATCTGGAAAGCAGAGGGACGTTTCAAAAGGAGGGAAAAGAGTCCATTCAACAACAGACTCCGATAGACATTTTGACTAAAATGCCTGATGAAATCCTGATGAAATCCCACCAAAAGGTTTGAGAAAGTTTAGATTCAATTATATGTATAGTTCAATAGTTGTATACTGCCGTAAATGTATACTCAAGAGTCAATCATCTAAATGACTGCCCAAATTTTCTGGAAGGTAAAAGATAACACGCTAATATAAATTAAAAATATATGGTATTTTAGCCCTGGCAGGCGTGGGTCAGTGTTTAAGTACTGAAGGATCCCAGGTTTGATTCCCCGATCAAGGGCTCATTGGGTTGCAGGTTCGATCCCTGGCCCCGGTTGGGGTGCACATGGGAGGCAACCAATCAATGTACTTTTCTCACATCGATGTCTGTCTCTCCTCTCCCCTTCCACTGTCTAAAAATTAATGGAAAAAATAATCTTCCATGAGGATTAACAACAACAAAACAAACAAAAAAAACAACCCATATTAAAAAAAAAAAAACCCAAAAAACTATCTCAAATCTAATAACAAGAGAAATAAACTTTACAAAAATGTCCTGCCTTTTGCCTCCTGGGTGGCTCAGTTGGTTAGAGTGTCATTTTGTAAACCAAAAAGGTTTTGGGTCCATCCCCAGTTGGGGCATGTGCTGGAGCAACCCATCAATGTTTCACATAGATCTTTCTTTGTTTTCTTTTCTTTCTCCCTCTCTCTCTCTCTCTCTCTCCCTCTCTCTCTCCCTCCCTTTCTCCCTTTCTCCCTCCCTCCCTCCCTCCCTCCCTCCCCCTTTTCCTCCCTCCCTCCCTCCCTTCCTTCCTTCCGCTCTCTCTAAAATCAATAAACATATCCTTGGGTGAGGATTAAAATAAAATAAAATAAAAACCTGCCTTTTGTTTCAATGGGCCATAGCAAACATTATCTTTGTACAATGATCAGAACTGTCAATAGATTAAAAAGTTCACAATATTGAAATACAGAAAAAAACAACATCCAAAGAATGCAATTGTGTAGAGTTCCTTAGTTTTAGTTTTTACTTGTATTAAATCTGAGAATTTAACAGGGGGCTCATTATCAAATGCAAAACACGATAAAAAGGTATAACAAAGCAAACATTTTAATCTACCTCAGTCAAGGAAAAGATACTTCCTATATACAAACATGTATGGTTTGAGCAATTTTTATATCTGTACTCAGCAAGAAAAAATTTTACTTACCGAAGTACTGTCATAACTCCAAATGGTATCCATGAATAGAGTTTAAAAAAATAAAAAATAAAGTCTAGCTTTTTTTTTTTTTTAAGGTCATTACACAAAACATGCAAGTTTTTAAATCATGAAAGGGAAAAAGGAAAGAACTGTGATAGTAGCTTAAATTTTAATACCCACTGTGTTGGGTATTAAATTTTCATGCCTCACCTTCTTGCTAGAATTAGCTGGTTTATACAACTACTGACATGGCTTTCCTAAGGCACCGTCTCTGAGAGGCTTACAGTGAACCGTGGCTTATGGACAATGACACCGTAACGTTGGGCTCATTCACATCCATGCTCTCCATTAGGCTTTCACGTGGCCTGCTTAACATTAAATGATCTATTCTAAAAAATTAGTATTTTCTGTTCTTTCTAGAAGTGACCTATAGCTGCAGGATTTTTACTTCTCATCAGTTTTATTTTTAATAAATCGATTTATTATACAGAGGGTTTACTTTCTACTTATTTCTAGAACTAAGGGTTTAGCACAAAATGAAAATATGTCATATTATTTATATTAATAAGCAATAAACTGTGACTGAGCCATTTTGCATTTGGAGTGAGTTTTATACAGTACTCCATGGGATGATCTTTCATAATAATTCTCTAAAAAATACTATTAACTGTACTGTAGAACAGGTTTAAATTACTAAAATTTTTATAGAAACTTATAAAATAATTTACTCATTAAAAATTAATACCTTCCCCCCACAAACCTGAAAATTATGGAAAACTTGAACATAATAACATAATTTTAAAACCTTATAAAATTGTTTTGCCAGGTTAATTTTCACAGTTCACAGCAAATTAAATTTGTCTGAATCCAGCCTACCTGCTCTCTAATGGCATATGAGAGAATAAACCGGATTCTCTCAATATCCCCACTGCAGATCTCCAGTGGTGATTTTCCAGGACTGAGGTATTCTATAGGAGAAAAAAAAACAACAAAAACAAACATGTCTGAGTTATTTAATGGTAATAAATCTCTTTCTAAACATAAAGAATTATTTGGGAGTAATATTAATCTGGTAAAATCCTAACATTTGTTAACCACTTTCACTTCTTGAAAACAAGAAACATTTTTAGGAATGCAAGAATATTGAATGTTGATGATAAAACTGCACTAACCTTGTATAAAGTTGCCAAGTAATGGTTAGTTTTAATAAGGAAAGGTTGATTAACGCCTGGATGATCCAGATCATGCGTGGCAGCTGCAATTAAGCTCAGCAAGACATCCCAAGGAGTTACGGAGTTGGCAAGCTGAAGTTGAGAAAAGAAGACTAATTATAGTCATATTTGAAATCAATTCTGTCCCACTGCAATGGTTTAAATTGGACCCAAATGGCAGTGTCCTCCTGTCCTGGTTTTCAGACTGTTCGCTAAGGCCGCTGGCGCCTGCTGGGCTGGCCCCTCCGACGCTGAGAGAAGTCAGACTGGACAGCCCCTGCCCGGGGACCTGACCGAGCTCGTCCTTCACAGCTTCCTTTCAGACAAGCTTAATCACAATGGCCAAGCACAAGCCACTCAAAAAAGATTCTATTCGAAAAGAGAATAGTTCTGAAGCAATAAACACAGGTTTGTATATTTTATTACCACAGCCATTACAGCAAACAGAAAAGACCTATGAGGCTAAATATTTTTTTATTATAAGAACACTTAACATGAGATCTACCCTCTTAACAGATTTTTATCAACAAACTAGAGGCCCCATGCACCAAATTCATGCAAGAGCAGGCTTCCTCCGCCGGCTGCCGGCCTGGCTTCCCTCTGGCTCTCGGGACCTGGGCTTCGATCACAGCCTGGCTTCATCTGGAAGGACATCTGGCCTAATTAGCATATTATGCTTTTATTATTATAGACTGTTTGTGGGGAAGCCCGGAACTTGGTTGGAGTATCTGTAAGGAGGATTCTCCGAAAGGTCGGGGGCCTCTGAGGGGACCCTGACTTTTCCAAACAAGTTCAACCTCCTGGGGTGTTTTGCTAGAATCTCTGTTTGTTCTTTTAGACCCAACCTTGTAGAAGCATATTCTTTCTCAAGGATGCTTACCTTGCTGGTTGTATCTAAGGCTAACTTTAGTTCCAGCTGTTACGCCAATAAAAGCCAGAGGAGGCAGGTGAACAGGGCTACTTGGCGGCGATAGCCAAGTAGTGCCTTAGCCCTCTCTTTCACAGAAATGTGTGTCAGAGTAATCATTCATCCATCGCTCAGGTCTGCCGGTCAGCCCTGGCAAAGTGGTGCCCTGTGTGAGGCTGACCAGCAATTGTCTACTGGATCTCAATTAAGAACCTAAAAAGCGAGGTTACTTCTGAGGCCGCGCTGACTAAGGAGGCTACTGGGTCACCAGAGAGCAGAGTCCTCGTCCTGTCTGAACTCAGGCCTCTTGTAAGCGAACAATTACACTGCTGCTCCCAATCGTCACTGTTAATCTTACTTGGTACAATAAGACAATCACAGAAAAAAGTCTGTTACCTGCCTGAAGATTTCAGTGATAAAAACAACCACCGTGCTCCATGTACCGCTGCTTTTCACGAATCCCTTCTCAGCACTGGGCCACTGCCCCTCAACTCAGGACCCCTCCCCTCACGACCCCCCTCCCCTCTTGTCTGCCTGCAGCTCCCCCCCCCCCCCCCTCGCAATGGCTGATTTGTGTTCGTACAGCACTTCACGTGCCCGGCCAAGGTGACTCTCAGCAGGACACACCTTTACTTTGGGTCAGTGCTCTCTGAACTTGTATGGCCGTGCCCTGACAGTAAAACAATGTGATCGTACACCACCAATACTGGTGCATTCACTTATAGATTATGATACTGAACTAACACATATTACACATGATGAAGATGAAAATGGAAAAACTCTAATTGAGATAAATTTTGATTCCAATTTTAGTATTTTCTTTCTATGCCAGAATGAATTTTTTTCCATCCCTTGTGTCGAGTTCATCTCAGTCTGAAAAAGAAAACTAAAACTCAACATTTAAGAGTTTGAATCCCCTAGAAAACTCTAAGCTGTTTGAAGGCCAAGAACATTTATTATTTATTTTTGGACTGCTTATAATTAGTATGGGGAGAAGTTCAAAGAATGGAGAGGAGTTGAAGAAAATTATTTCCTCTTCAGGATTTGTGACAGCATTTAAAAAATACAGACTTTTGCCGAAGCCGGTTTGGCTCAGTGGTAGAGCGTTGGTCTGCGGACTGAAAGGTCCCGAGTTCGATTCCGGTCAAGGGCATGTACATTGGTTGCGGGCACATCCCCGGTGGGGAGTGTGCAAGAGACAGCTGATCGATGTTTCTCTCTCATCGACGTTTCTCTCTCTCTATTTCTCTCCCTTCCTCTCTGTAAAAATAAATAAAAGAAAAAAAATAATAAAAATAAAAAATAATAAATAATACAGACTTTTAAAGCAGGGCTCACTAATCAGGAGGAACGGAGGCACACTCTGAGCACCCTGCACCCAGACCAGCCTCCCCTCCCATCCCAGGGCGTGTGGGCACGGCCGTGGCTATCTTATCAACAAATAATTAAGCAACATGCAAATATTATATTCTTATGGTAACTAAAACAGAGGGGAAGTGGCAGAAGAATAGATATGTACTATCCTGGGAGAGTCCAATAATCCAGAATTAAACAAAAAAAATCATGTATGATTACACGTGACATCAAACAATCTCAGGTAGATTAAAAGTTCTGTGAGGGAAAGTAGCTCTTGAGTTTGGTTTCTCTCCTTTAAGACTGACTCTTACCCACCTGTCTCTCGGACACCCATCTGGATATCGCGCACACACATTTGTCTCCAGATTCAAACCGGAAGTCACCATCTCTGCCCGCCCCACCCCACCCCCCAGGCATGCTCCTTCTCCACATTCCTTTTCACAAGGCCTCCAGCTTCCACCTGCCGCCCTGGCAGCCTTCATCATTCCCCTCCCTGCTGCTTCCCACACCACTGGACACGTGGGCCCATTCGTTCTAAATCTAAGTGACCCACCACCCCGCCCTGACCCTCCCCAGGACTGTGCCCGCCCCCTTGAGGAGCACTGCAGCAGCTCTGAGGGAGGCGTCCCTCTTGTCTGGTTGATGGTCACACAGCAGCCAGCTCCCTCTCCCTCACGGAGCCGGACTGGCCGCCCTGCCCTCAGGGACACAGCGTCAATGCGGATGTCCGGACAGCCCCGGGGTGGGGATCTGGCCCTCACTGGGCCTCCTCCACTGCTTTCTCAGCAGCCCCCCAAGTTCTCCAGGAGCTGCGCTTACAAATACAGCCGTTTTTTGGAAACTCGATCCCGCCAGATCTCATTCTTTTGAAGGAAACTTCTGATTCTGAGCCAAATCACTAACTTAGGGAAAAGTATTTGAAATAAGAAACATTCTTAGGGTTTTCACCTGCTGTCAGTGTCAGCATCTCACCTTGGGCTCTCGCAGGTAACAGTGCATGGCCTGAGTGACGTCGGCAGCGTGGACGGCGTTGTGGTACGGGTTCTGGCTGTGGTAATCTTCTTGAATCATAACTGCAACCAAGGAAAAAGCCCCCACCCCCATTTAGCTGTAAACGGGAGGCGTGGACACGTGAACTGCGATAATCACAGGTCCCCACTGGCACTTTCCAGGTGGCTATCAGTTAACCACTCAGGTTCAGAGAGATGATAATCACCCACACTCACATGGAGACCTAAAGAATCAATACTATTTTGACTCATAACTTGTTTGAAACTTTTAAAAAATATATGTTTTCATTGATTTTGAGAGAAAGGGAAAGGGAGAGATAAAAACATCAATGATGAGAGACAATCATCCATCAACCGGCTGCCTCCTGCACCCTGCCTCCTGGGAATCGAGCCCACAACCTGGTCATGTGTTCTGACCTGGAATCAAACTGGTGACCTCTTAGTTCATGGGCTAATGCTCAACCGCTGAGCCACACTGGCCAGGCTTGTTTGAAACTTAAATGAGAAAGTATTCATGTCAAAATTATAAGATACTTTCTTTTAAAATGTGAAGGAGAGACCAAAAGAATCAGTTTAGTAAAAACAGTACCATTCAACAAATATTTATTGTGCCAGATACTGTTCTAAGTGGTACTAGAAATTCATCAGTGAACACAAATCTTTATGACACTGAAACAGTGTGAATACTGGGGTCTAGAAAGTGATCTTTGGGGCATCATCACACGGTGGGTTTTGGATCTGGAATTTGTTTTCCAGTTTGTAGGGAGGGACCTGCTGCTAATCCTTCCTTCCTCCCTCTGTGCCTGTTATGCTGTCAGGGAAAGGTGGACCAGGATTAGCGGGAGCTATCCATGGCGCCAGCGAATCTGCACGGGGGTGGTGATGGGGTGGGGGCCAACAGCAAGACATGCTAAAACCTCGAGGTCTCTGCAATCCACCCATGAGCAGGAAAAAGACTCGGAATTCTGTATTTACTTTGATCCCATTGTTTAAAATAGCCTTTTAAATACTCTTGTAACATCTATTTTTATATGTGTTTTATAATTTATATAATGTACTAGTACAGTATCACAGACATACAATTTATAAAAATGTGCATTGAAAGTTTCTCAAGCCCTGGCTGGTATTGCTCAGTGGATAGAGCATCAGCCTACAGACTGAAGGGTTCCGGGTTCGATTCCAGTCAAGGTCACACGCCCATGTTTCCAGCTCAATCCCCAGGAGAGGGCATGCAGGAGGCAGCTGATCAATGATTCTCTCTCATCATTGAGGTTTCTCTCCCTCTCCTTTCCTCTCTGAGATCAATAAAAATGTATTTTTAAAAAGTTTCTCCAAAATGCTAGCTAATAAATTTATCTTAGTTTGGAACTTAAGAGGAAAGAAAACACTGTCTTCTTCCTTTAAAAAAAGAATCCTCATGCTATGCTACCAATTTGTTCCTAACATGTTTCTTTATTCGGTGAAAAGCTTCAACTTTCCCCTTAGCAGAGCGGTCTTAGGTAAACACCGCCCTGTACATTTAAACATATTCCAAACAATCCTTCAGGTTTACTGTCAAAATAAGAGACCTGAGTGCAACGTATCCCATCTTTTAAAGTTTTATCCTTCAAACTCTTAGAAACGTGGCATCTTTGTCAGGAAACCGTGGCCGAGGTAGCCCTGAATGCAAAGCAGTTCCAGTTCTTCCCAGGCCCCGGCCCTGGGCTCCTGGGCCCGAGGCTCTGCAGCTCACCTGCCCTGACCCGGCCGTCGGTGCAGAGCCCAGGGCCCCAGGGGTCTGGGTTGCCAGCTCTCTCTTGGAAACTGGACACCACTCTCTGAGCAAACTCAGCTTATCCAATCCTATATAACAAAACCCTAAGATGCAAACTGACTGACTGGCGGAACGACCAGTCACTCTGATGTGCACTGACCACCAGGGGGCAGATGCTCGACACAGGAGCTGGGCTCATGGTTGGCAAGTGCAGCAGTGGTGGCCGTGGCAGGAGCCTCTCCCACCTCCATGGGGAGCGGGTCTAAGATGGCAGTCGGACATCCCCAAAAGGGTCTTGGACTGTGAGAGGGTGCAGACCAGGCTGAGGGACTCTCCCCACCCCAGTGCACGAATTTCATGCACCGGGCCTCTAGTTTTAAAATAAAGATTACTTTCTTTTTTGTTCTTAATGTGAATCTATATGGTGCCGAAGTCCTCTGCGTCCTTTTAACGTAACAGGAGACCACGCAGAGCTGCCGGTCAGCCCCGGCCCCTGGGCTGCCAGCTGCAGGAGCGCAGAGAGCAGTAGGACTGGAAACAGCATGCACAGCCCACAGACGCGGGAGCTCAATAATGCCTGTTGTTTTAAGCCACTAAATTTGGAGCGGTTTGTTTTAGAGCAATAGTTACCGTATTTTTCGAACCATAAAACACTCCGGACCATAAGACGCACCAGTTTTTAGAGAAGGGAAATGAAGAAAAAAAGATTCTGAAACAAATAGTGTCCTAAAATATTTTATGTGCATTAAAACCCAACATCACAGTCATAAACACATGTAATCAACCCTGTAAAGTAAACAGCAGCATTTAGAACCATTTAACTGGGCAAGCACACAGAGACCACACAGAGCCGGGCAAGTAAAAAAACTTTTTTTTTAAAAGTATATGTGTAGGCTATATTTGGACCATAAGACGCAGGGACTTTTTCCCCCCACTTCTGGGGGGAAAAAAGTGCGTCTTATGGTCCGAAAAATACGGTACTTAATACTAAATTTTTAAAAGTTCTTGTATACATCTTACTACTGGAAATGAATTAGAATCACTTACCTAAAAATCTACGAAGTTTCACCATATCTAAATGGAAGTATTCAATTAATCCATGAAGACTAAATAAATGACAGGTTAAACTTACTAGACTATTTCCTAAAAAACACAAAAACAAAAAAGACAGAGAAAGGAGATATTAGTAGCTAACATAATTGCATATAGGTTTTGAATATTCAACATAAAGTACTAATTCCTTTTTGTCTAAAATTTACAAATGCTTAGACCAGTTATGAACTTCAAATATCACATCTTTTTCCATTCTAAGAAAAAACTTTTTTGTTGTTTCATTTTGCACAACCAGGTAAACTGGGAATAAACTTTTAATAGATGATTAAAAAATACACCAAAATAATTAGAATCAACAGACACTTTGAAAGTTGTCCCACGGTAAGATTAAGTCAACTCCCCAAAGCACGTACACATGGCTGCATTTAACCACTTCCCATTTGGCCCCTCAACCATCTGCTGTAGCTGAACAGGGATGACTCGGAGCAAGCGGCCTTGGCTGCACCTGGTTATGGGGAGGCTGTTTATTCTAACAAACTAGACAGAAATCTATAGCTAAACATTCACAGACAATACTACAGCTAGCAATCTTATGTTTTTCTAGTGAAATGTTCCTTTCACTTTTCAAAATGCCTATTTTCAAGCTTTCTCTACTTTTCTCAAACTACTGACATAACCACATCCTATTCACCCCTTCATCCTCAACAGCCTCATACTTCACAGAAAAAAATTCAAGCCCTCAAATTTCCCTTTCCTTCAAAAGCCAATAATACCTCCTCCTCTCCATAGCTTCTCAGGAACCTTCCTTGGTCCCTCACATACACCTGCCATGTCCCCCCATCCCCATTCCCAGTTCCACTGAATCAAAACATCCCTCCCACCTCCCCTTCTCATATTGCCCGGTACGATGGACACTCAGACGTGCTGTAGATTCTCTTATCTTTGGCCCCTCCAGTGGTTTCCCTCTCTGCCCCCCACAGCGAGTTTTTTGGGAGTGTTGTCATACGCAACAGGGGTTATCTTTATCCTCAACTCACTCCTTTGTCACTGACAACTGGAGCCAAGTGCAGAAATTAAATTTGGAAAAACTACCATTTTTTATAATACTTAGTTTTTTCTTCCAAGATTCATCTCTCTCTCTCCATTTCTTATACCTTCCATTATACTTCTCAATGTTTTGAAAATTTCCTCTACAGGACTGATATGCATTATTAACAATTAAGTAGGCTATGTGATTTAAAAGTAGTATAAATTCATAATTACTGCCAACATTTTGACAAGAACAACAGACAGGATTCTAGTATTCTCTAAAAAAAATCTATTAATTCTTACAAAAAAATGAATAAAAGGCATAACTAGTCCACCATTGAAAATTTTAGTAATATTTATGAAGGATTATAAAGAACTTCATTATCCAAAACTGCCTAACCAATTATCAACAGAAGCTCATGGCTGAGGAAAAAAAAAGTTAATTGGAAAAATATTTGCATGGGCAACATTATAAATAATGTGGCAGCCCAAAAGAGATTCTTTTTCAAAACTACCTGGCATATCACCTTCAAAAGGGAGGAAAAAACTATTTCAAATCTCTTACTTTTATGAAATTAAACGTTAAAATGCATTCCAATCCTGATAACATTCTACTGGTACAAACGTGAGCCTATGTGGTTTGGAAGTATTTGAGAAAAAGTGAGCTATATTTCTGCTACTGCTGTTGTAACAGCCAATTTTTTGTTTGGTACATTCATAGATACTTTAGAATGTATATTCAAACAAATATCCAATTAAAAAATGGTCAGAAAATCTGAACATTTTTCCATCTGACATATAGATGGTTGACACATGAAAAAATGCTTGGCATCACTAATCATCAACTAAATGCAAATCAAAACGACAATGTCACCTCACACCAGTAAAAATGGGGATTATAAAAAAAGGCAAGAGATAAGTGTTGGTGAGGATATGGAAAAAGGTGAACCCTTGGGCACTGTTTACGGGAATGTAAATTGGTGCAGACATCATGAAAAACTGTACAGAGGTGTCCCCAAAAATTAAAAATAGAACTACCATATGATTTAGCAATCCCACTTCTGGTTGTTTATATGAAGAAATCCAAAACACTAAAAGAAGATACAGGCACCTCAATGTTCACTGTGGCATTATTTGCAATAGCCAACACATAGGTAACAACCTAAGTATCTATAGCTAGAAGAATGGACAAGGAAAATATGACATATGTGTATATAATTTTATTAAAGTAATATGAAAGAAGGAATGTTATTTAGCCACAAAAAAGAAAATCTTGATTAATGCTGATAGCCATTATGACAGGTGTGAGATGGTAATTCATTGTGGTTTTAATTTGCATTTCTCTGATGATTAGTGACATTGTGCATCTTTCCATGTCTATCGGCCATCTGTATGTCCTCTTTGGAGAAGTGTCTATTCAGGTCCTTTGTCCATTTTTTAAAATTAGATTTTTTTTTTGGTGTTGAGTTTTTTAAGTTCTTAATAAATTTTGGATATTAAGCCCTTTTCCGGTGTATCATTGGTGAATTTGTTCTCCCATTCAGTGGATTGTCATTTTTTGATGTGCAAAAACTTTTTAGTTTGATATAGTCCCTTTCATCTTTCTTTTGTTTCCCTTATCTGAGGAGATAGGAAAAAATATTGCTCAGAGAAATGATTGAGATTTTACTGTCCATGTTTTCTTCTAGGATTTTTTCTTTTTTTGGTTTAGAGTTTAACATTTAATCCACTTATTTTCTTGCATGGTATAAGAAGGTGGTCAGGTTTCATTTTTTTGCACATTATCTGTCCAATTTTTCCAACACTATTTATTGAATAGTCTTTACCCCACTGTATGTTCTTGCTTCCTCTGTCAAATATTAATTTACCATAAAGGTGTGGGTTTATTTCTGGGTCTCTATTCTGTTCCATTGATCTATATGCCAACAACGAATGTTGAAGAGGATGTAGAGAAAAGGGAACCCTTCTGCACTGTTGGTGGGAATGCAGATTCTGCAGCCACTGTGGAAAGTAGTATGGAGGAAAAAAAATTAAAAATGGAACTGCCTTATGACCCAGCAATTCTGCTTTCTGACGATATATCTGAAGAAACCCAAAATATGGATTCAAAAGATATATGTACCCTTATATTCACTGCTGTGTATTTACAATAGCCAAGATTTGGAAGCAGCCCTACTGCCCATCAGTAGATGAGTAGATAAAAAGAGTTGTGGTACATTAATACAATGAAATACTACTTGGTTGTTAAAAAAAAGGGAAACCTTACCTTTTGCGATAGTATGGATGAACCTGAAGAGTATTACGCTAAGTGAAATAAGCCAGTCAAAGATAAGTACCATGTGACTTCATTCATATGTGGAATCTAATGAACAAAATAAACTAACGAACAAAATAGAAACAGACTCACAGATACAGAGGACAGGCAGCTGTCAGAGGGGAGAGGGGTTGGGTGACAAAGGTGAAGGAATTAAGCAAAAACAAAACACCCAAAAAAATGACCTCACAGACAACACTGTATGGTGATTACCAGAGGGCAAGGGGGTGGAGGAGAGTTGAAGAGGATAAAGGGGGGATAAATGTGATGGAAGGAGACTTGACTTGGGGTGTGAACACACAATATACAGATGTATAAAATTGTACACCTGAAGCCTATATAATTTTATTAACCAATGCCCGCCAATAAATTCAATCAAACAATCTATCTATCTATCTATCTATCTATCTATCTATGTAATAAATATGTATAAAAGCCTAATATGCTAACTGTCCCTCTGACCGGTTGACCAGTCACTTTGACACACACTGACCACCAGGGAAAAGACACTCTGACTGGTAGGTTAGCTTGCTGTGGGGTCCGGCTGATCGGGACTGGGCGAGATGGGCCAGACACACCCTGGAGCCCTCCTGTGGTCCCTCCCTGATTGTGCACCAGTGGGCTCCCTCGGCCTGGCTTGTGCCCTCTCACAATCTGGGACCCTTGGGGAATGTCAGAGAGCCGGTTTTGGCCCAATCCCCACAGGCCAGGCAAGAGAGATCCCACCGGTGCATGAATCTGTGCACCGGGCCTCTAGTCAATATAGAAAATCTTGCCATTTGCAACAACATGGATGGATGCTGAGAGCATGCTAAGTGAAGTAAGTCAGAGAAAGACAAATGCAGTTTAATCTCACGTATACATGGAAACTAAAATTAAAACCAAAAGCTGAGCACACAGATAGAAAAGATTGTGCATGTCAGAGGCAGGGCACTGGGTGTGGACAAAATGGGTGAAAGGGTCAAAAGGTAAAAATTTCCAGTTGTAAAATATAAATAAGTCTTGGGATGTATACACAGTGTGGTGACTATATTTAACGATACTCTACCTCATATTTGAAAGTTGCTAAGAGAATAGATCTTAAAAGTTTTTGTCACAAGAAAAAAAAATTGTAACAATGTTGTGACAGATGTTAACTAGACATGATGTGATTATTTTGATATATACATATATCACATCATTACACTGTACACTTATAGCTAATATGCTATATGTCAATTATAACCTCACTATAAAAAATGTATATACATTCTGTAAATTTATGTCTTAATAGGTTCTCCCCAAATCGTTTTCCTAACCTAATAAAACAAATGACCAATTTCTAGGGTCTAGAGTAGGTTTCAGGAAAGCTGCAATCTAATGGTAAAATACCCTCATCTGCAATCTGGACACACTGCAGAGAGCAACACATGTAATGTCTTGCACCAAGACCTTTCCAAGAATCTGACAAGATCCAGTCAGATTAGAGCATGCCACCCACATTGAACTGAAAAGCTGCATGTAGCATTTCCCCCGCCCCCCATTTTCAGTTTATAAGACACTAATGGACAATTTTAATACCAGTGGATAAGAACACAAGTCAACGAAACATTTCAAAACAAGCGATGCTTAGATGATGTGCTGAATAAGAAACAGGCACAGAGGACTTAAATGAAAATGGAAACAAACACGTTGTTGGGAAAAACTGTACTGATAAAAAGGCTACCCTCGTAAAAATATATCAAAGGACAGAACTGCGGTGCAGTGGCCCTGACAGCTTTCAGAATGTGACTAGAAGGGAGTCCTCCAGGACCCAGGCCTGGTGACTGGGTCCTCCCCAGCCAGGGAGCCTTCAGGGGTGACCAGGCATATCTTGTCACCTCACATCACCTCTCACTCATTCCGAGAAAGGAACATCAGATGTATCCTGGCAGCAATAACTACGTTCCTCCTTGCCACGGACCATGTATCTTGGCGAGTCACTGAGTCTGCCTTCTCCCTGACTTCCTCACAATAGCATTTGGAAATTACCAAAGCAAGCATGGGATCAAACGCAAGAAGGGAAAACTATACACTTGGAAACCATGTACATATGTCATCCAGAATTCATGTCAGGACGAGCAGTTTTAAAACATATATATATTTTATTGATTTGTTTTACAGAGAGGAAGGGAGAGGAATAGAGAGTTAGAAACATTGATCGGCTGCCTGAGATAAGTTAGACTCGTGCTGAGTTAGGAAAGGGGCGCTCTCTGGACCTGGAAGCTGACCACCTGGCACCTCACTACCTGTGTTTTCATGGAGGCAGAAGGGAGGCTGCTGTGTAAGGGTGTGAGCCTTCTGTGTGCACAGCCCGCCTGGGGCACAGACAGGAGCACCACACTGAGTCTCCAAAGGGCCAAGGAGAGGCAGCAGAGGAGGGAGGCTTTGCAGATTAGGCAAACTTCACTGTTTACAATTTTGCCAATTTCCCATCGTTAGTCGCTGGACACAGTGATTACCAAGGTATTTTCATTCCGAGGGAAGGGTGTACCCATCCTAAAAGCTAGACCCACACTGCCCTTCAAGATAAAAAAAGCTGTATTGGCTTGTCCTTTACCCATATTTGGTTTCCTCATGAAAAGGGCTTCATTCCAAAAGGAAATAAAAAAGGAGGTGCTGCCCTAGGTTTTTATTTAAAAAGGAGGTCTGGCTCAGTGGATAGAGCATCGGCCCGCGAATGGAAAGGTCCCAGGTTCAACTCCGGTCAAAGGGCACATGCCCAGGCTGTGGGCTCGATCCCCAGTGGAAGACATGCTGGAGGCAGCCGATCCATGATTCTCTCTCATTGTGGATGTTTCTCTCTCTCTCCCTTCCTCTCTGAAATCAATAAAAATATATTTAAAAAAAATAAAAGGAGCGTGCTTTCAGAGCATATTTCCTGAGCAGCCAGTGTGCTCTCCATGTTGATGTATGTATGTATGCATTTGTGTATGTAGTGTATGTATTTAAAAGACATTTAGACATAAGGGACAAAGTCTAATTGAACTGCATATAGCACCTATTTTTTATGCCAAAAATTTTCCCTAAGTAAAACTGATCCCCAAAGAGAATAAGGAAGTGTGACACTCCCCCTTCTCCACCAACAACAAAAAATCAGGGAATGTCGAAACTGGTTTGGCTCAGTGGATACAGCATCAGCCTGCGGACTGAAAGGTCCCCAGGTTCGATTCCGGTCAAGGGCATGTACCTGGGTTGCGGGCACATCCCCAGTAGGGGGTGTGCAAGAAGCAGCTGGTTGATGTTTCTCTCTCATCGACGTTTCTAGCTCTCTATCTCTCTCCCTTCCTCTCTGTGAAAAATCAATAAAATATATTTTTTTAAAAATCAGGGAGTGTTTGAACAGCGCAGAACCACCTAGTTTTTTAAACCACTCACACACGGCAGATTGACACGCCCCTAGGAAGCTGCGGCTCTTCCCCAGCCAGCCAAGGAGGGAGCACAGCACCCTGGTTGGTCTTCCCAGTGCGCAGAGAAAGAAAAACGTGAGAGCCACGGAGCTAGAGGGAAGGATTCTCCCAGAAGGCCGGTGTCTACCCACATCTGCACTATCTGAGCTGGAACACAGTGTCATGAGGCGTCATTGTAAAAGGCCACAACCCAAAAGGAACATCAGGAGAGAACATTCACTGGGAGTTATGTGTAACAGCAGCCTTAATGAGGGATGGCCAAGTGATGGTGACTGATCTTTTGATTACTGCTAAGAGTAATAATCAAAAACTCACTGTATGAGATTGGCTCTAGGCTTATCGACCAGACATAAAGAAGAGACAAAATGATGCCCCCCCTGCCAGCAGAGGCTCCTACGTCAGAGGAAACAACGACCCGCCAGAGGCTGGACCGGCAACGCAGCAGCCAAAGAACACATTGATTGGAGGAAGTCAAATTCTTCACTTACCATTTGTTAGTCTATCAAATAGAAAGATATCAAAATTCCAATTTCCAACTTTTCCCAGCATACACTGAAATGAAAACCAAACATTCCTACTGTAATTTAATTTCAATAACACTATCTTTAGTAGATGGTTCATAGAAAAGTTAATGAAAATGTAAAGTGATTGATTTACTCTAAGAAATGCTATATATCATTATCCTTTTAATCATTACTTTTCCAACTGGTTATAAAAAATGTATAAAGAGATAAACTCTATTTGAAAAACCAAATATTATTGTTTTCCAATGAATAAATGTATAAGTAAGGTTAGTGTTTTTTTTAAACTTATTCTATTCTGGTACAAACTTTCAAGAATTCTAACATAATTTGAAATTACAGAAGTATGGTTCATATGTTGTATGGTCTAGAAACTATATTTTAAAAACTCTAGTAAAACTAAATTATAATAACTGAGTACATACTATATTCTAGGTACTGTTAAAGTACTTTACTACTCTTACTATCCAGTAGGTACTGTTTTCAATCATTTATAGATGGGAAAACAAGCAAAAAGTAACTAACTTGTTTGGCTGAGAATACTAGAGCTCGGGTCTTAAATCAGGTGGCCTGATATGGAACCTGGGCACCTGACATCTATACTATGCCATGCTTAAATTGTGATTCTTTTTTTTTTAGAAAACACTCCCAATTATGGGTATTTATTTATATCTTTTAAATATCCTTATAAAACAATAGCATTTACTACATTAATTTTCAAATTGATGTGTATTTCAGTCAAACAAATATCACAATGACTTTAAAAATCAAGTAGATTCTATTTTTACATGATATATTTGTAACTTGAAAGTTCTGCGAACTTTATTTTTAAGAAAAAATTTGATTTTGTTTCCAAAAGTTCATTGTTGTATACATTTATAAATAGATTAACAACTAAACAGTACTAAGACACCACTAGTATAGATTATGATAGTACCAACAACCAATCATTCACAGATCAACATTCTCATTCTAAAAAGACCTTGTGAACTTTTTAAAGTTTAAAGAAAGCTTTTCCATTGATTTATTTTACCAAACAGAGAAGCAAGTTTTTTTTCACTTTAATGTTATCATAAAGGTACTCTAGCCCTATCTACACAAACTTACAAAATCTGGTGTACACACACACAAAGAATACTTCTAAAAATATAGAAACATAAGATTAAAAATCCTCGTTAAAAAAAAATGCTCATCTAACTTCCACTTTCATTAAGACATTTCTTTTAAAACATGTGAAGAAAATCATGCTCAAAATCACTGGGTTTAATTAAGAAACACCTAAGTCCTCAAAATAATCCACTGACACAAGAGACTATGAAAACCACCTGACTGGAAGTCACGAGACTAACTTTCTGTGCTGATTTGCCTCTATTAGGCCATAGTCCACTTATCTATTGAATACAGGAATAATGTATAATATTCTTCCCAGGGATAATACTGTGATCTTACAGATGAATGTTCTACTCCTCTATTTGTTAATGTTATAATAAATAAAAAGCATTTTCATTTATTTAGTTTAGAAATTTCCCTTGCTCTGTAATACCTAGTCATAAAATGAACGAACAACTGCTCTAAAGGGAAAACCTGAAAAAAGGGCTTAACTGATTTTCACATACAAAAAAAGGCTCTATAAATCAGTATCAGATGGGAAAAGAAGGCTTCATTAAACTTATCAAAAGGGTAATGTTTCTTGAAAAGGCTATACACACCTTGGCTTGTCCGTTATAATCATCATCTAAAATATTTAGAGAGTTTGAAACAGAAGTACCACGAAAAAAACGTGATGATCTAAGATACCGCTGGAAACTTAGTAACCTTCTGATATTCCTTGCAGATACTGAAACTTCAATTTCAGATTGAGCTGAAATGAAAGAAGTAAAAGGTGAGTACAGCAAGTCAACACTGTGCCCGGACTGTCTTATAATACCTCTTTACCAGCTACACACAGATACAGATTTAAAATGTCAGCTGTTATGCCACACTTCTGGGAGAGAAGAGGTACTTCATTTGTATTCCTATTAGAGAACTAAAAACGAAGGGGTAAATGGCCAATTTTGACAGCATTTAGAAAGTTAATAATGAGGAGCGAGGCTCCATTAATAATCAGCTATTTTTTTTTAACTTCCAAGAATTATCATTTCTCACTCTATTGCCTCAATATATAATACTAAACACACATGGAACAGAAACACAAAACCTAGTCTGAAACTATGCTTCATACTAAGAAGCCAGGTCCCAAGTTACTAGCATATTGGAGACTTTAACAATGACACAAATAAAACATCTCAGATCCCGAGGAGGTATCATTTTAAGTCTTTCCGTAAGGTGATTTTAGTCAGAGGCAAGGAGAGGGAATGGGGAGTAAAGCAGCTTACCCCCTGGGAGTTCTGAAGCTCAGGGATAAACGTTCTGTAAGGTGAAAACCCAGAAGGGCCGTGATGCCGGCTGGAGACGGACATGTTCTCCGTCAGTAAGTCTAGCAGCCACTTTACAATAAACCGAACTTTGAGTAAAAGATTAAATAACAGACCTGTGTTTTTTTTGTTTTGTTTTTTACATTTAAAAATTTTTTATTGATTAGCGAGAGAGGGGGGGGGGCGGGGGGATGGATTTGTTGTCCCGCTTATTTATGCATTCATTGGTTGATTCTTGTATGTGCCCGTCCTGACCAGGGATCAGATTCACAGCCTTGGCTTATGGGGACAACAGTAATATCGGACTCAGAGAGAGCTGGATTAAATGAGATGACGTGTACACAAGTCACCTTCAGGAAGTATTAAATACATAGTGGCAATGTAGATGATGATGAAATCGGTGCTGAAGTCACTACTTACAGTTATGCTTCTAGGTATTATCCTAAGCTCCAAATCTGTTCATGTTGCTCTAAATTAAAGTACCCACTGGCTCCCAATTATCCTAAAATGAACTCTATCTCCTTAGCCTGGAAGAAAAGGGTCAGGATCCAGGTCTAGCTGCTCCAGATCTGACTCAAGTGTCACTTTCCCTGGGAAGCTCACCTGAAGTCCCACCTCACATGCACTGTCTGCCCGAGAGAGAGAGAGAGAGAGAGAGAGAGAGAGAGAGAGAGAGAGAGAGAAAGCACCTCCTCCGGGGCCTCCAAGTGCCCTGTGCACACACCTGTCAGGGCACTCCTAAGGTTGGACTGTAACTGCTTACTGACCTGTCTCCTTTGACAAGCTACAACCTCCAATACAGGCACAGACTATAGTTTTCATCTCTGTATTATAAAGCTAAATAATAGAGCCAACTAGGCATATGTGAACTATACTGAGTAAGTGTTGAATAAACGCATACTGTGTTTGAAACATTCCATCCACTCACCTAAGCCAGAAATTAAATAATGCACATTTTTCTGTGGTTCACTTCCCTTATTTTTTTATTCCTGCGAGTCTAAAATCCAAAGAATCTAGAACGACAGTAGAGTTAAATTTTGATCTTTAACAATGTAACTTATATTAAAAGGACCAGAACCAAAATGTAAAACTATTAATATCAAGTAATTATATTTGAACTAAAGTAGCACCTTTGAGGAAATGAGGGCAGACCAAGTTCAGTGAAAGCCATATTCCAAGCGCTTTACAAAGAGCATCTCATTGAACTCTCAACAATCTCAAAATATTATCATCTTTCACTTTACACACAAGAGCACTACATCTAAGAGAGATTAAGTAATCTGCCCAAGGTCACACAGCCAATTCAGGATGACAACTGGATTTTAAAACACAGATTTGTTTATACTGTTTGTTAACAGTTTATTATAAAAATCCTATGTACACCATCATTCAAAATTGTCCTTATTTAAATGAAAGTATGTGCAAAAAAAGAAGCAGAGAGGAAAAAGAGGATGTATGAAATGCATGTCTTTAATGTGACCCCACCTGGAAGGGTCAGCGAGGAAAGAAATGAGTGTGTGGGGAGCAGACTAGATCTAATTCATACAATACCAGCACCGCCATCCCTGAATTACAAGGTACTTTACAGTTTTACAAAATGTTGTAGAAGACACATATTCATTATGGAAAAGTAACCTAAAAGAGTTCAAGGTCATGAGCATCCCTTCAATTTATCTTACGCACAAAAGATAACGATTTTATCATTAGCAATTACGTCACATCATTTGTGCATAAGGGTATACACTAACAGTAGAATCACTGCTTTCAAATGATTGGTCTAAACTAATATATCTTCAAGTAAATTTGAGAATCTCTTTGAGAGGGTAATTGCATAAAATCCAAAACAATGAATGAGCCTCATTTGAGAGGAAAATACCCTCATATCTGAGCTATATTGAAACAATTGCTCTCTCTACTTCCTGATTCTGAATGTACCTGTTTCAAATATTTTTATTATTATCTTCTTCTCTGAATTCTTGAAGTTGTTCATTACAATGAAGTTATTGCTTCCTGTAGTTTTTAAGGAAGCAGTAGAAAATTTGATCACAATCGTCATCAGTTTGATGACAACCTTTTCCTGTGAAGTGCTTTTCAGTCACTGTTAAGTTCTGCTGCTCTCTTACACAGTTTTGCTTAATTATCTATCTGATGTGCCAGTTTCTTTGTTTTAAAGTGTTATTGAATGGGCTGAATTTTCCTGAACTAACCCTTTACAATTTTCCTGTACTAAACGCAAATGAAAGTGAAGACTTAGGAGAGCAGAGATGTCCTCCAAGCTTCACTATCCAAATGGCTGTGTTCTCGGCCAAAGAGACAAACATGCCGCTGATATTTCTCTAAATGGGGCCCAGGGGGCCTGCACCTGCCCCTCCCCTCAGCCCAGATCATAGGCCAAGTGTGGACATAAAGTAGTTAACTTTGTACTTCAGAGTGGGCCCCTTTACATAATTCTTGCTGCTAGGCTGTTTCTAACCTTCCTTCTTCTTACAAACAATTCTGAAATTGTTTTAAAAAAGAAAAACAATTTCCCCTTATGTTAGACATTCTTATAACTAAATCTTGAGCACATTCTGATTGATTCCCTTAAAATAAACCCTCAGCAGTAGAACAAGCACATAGGAGCAAATGTCAGTGACTTCTAAAACACAATGCCAAACTGGAGACAAAGTTTTGTAAAAGAAAATTAGAGAGGATTGTTCTAGATGAGCTTCCAAAATATGATCTAAAGAAAGGAATCAACTATAAATCAAGGATGAAGTGTGATAAACTCATATAAGATGGAAATTTTTAGTTTCTTCAGGTTTGGTCTCTCCTGCCCCAAATTCTTTCCTTTTACATACTCTCACACATATGCACACATTCTTTATGATGATTAAAAATAAAAATTTTATATGGAAACAAGCAAGTAGAGGCCACTACAGAGACAGTACTGAGTTGAGTAATTAGGAATATATAAAAGGGAGCTGGGTACAGAAAATGGTAACCATACCATTAACTAGTGCTTTCATTTAGATAATTACTAAAAACCTCATCCTCTGACCATAATACACAAAATCTGACCCTATTACCGATATTCTCGTGAGCTCATGCTGTAACATGCAATACACTGCCATTATTTATTTCACAGTGTATACACCAATAGGTAAAAGTTGTCTAAAGTCCAGCTTTTGCCAGGCTAGGACTATTTAAGTCCCAGGCTGTTCTAGTTTACATGGTTACCCACATTCCAATCCAGCTTAGAAAGCCAACAGGCTCCGTGAATTAATCAAGTTACTATTAAAGAGCTGTTGGCTCTGCTGGTTCTCGTCTAAAATATCACATTACCTCACTATGTGACCGTGAACAAACTAATCATAAGCAGCTTCCACCAATACTAAATGAGTGGTGTTACTTAATGATCATGGGAATTACTTAGAGTCACCCATAGAAGTAATGGGTGACTTAGCTTCTCTAAGCCATAATTAATTAATTAATCAATAAGAAAGAAATTAAATGACGTGTGGGATAGCAGACACAGTCAGAAGCAATGCTTTTTTCTCTTGCTTTTCCCCTCATGTTAGAGAGTGGACAAGAAGGACAGGTTAAGGAAACAAAAGGGCTGGGGAATCAACACATCTTGGCAGTATTCCTCCCAGAGACTCTTTTCTTCATCATCCAAATGGCATGGCAGGAAATGCCACTGATATTTACTTATTAGACAAAAGAGGGTTTTAACAAGAAAAACCTTTCTTTCTTGAGACTTGACTACTTGCTTTAATAGACCACAAGAGGGAACCACAGAGTCACTGTTATCTGCCACCTTAAAACCATAAAAATAATTTAGATGCGTATAATCATGAATTACCCTTGCAGATTGTTTAAATTGTTTTTTAAAAATACAGTGCTGTAAGGTTTTAGTTCTAGCCTAGGGCAAGGTCATGTTGAATAATAATTGAATAAAAAAAATTTGAAGACCTTCTATATTCTAACCTCCCCTTTCTTTAATTTTCCTCAAAAAGAACAGGAGCCATATCTGAAAGTCTATTGTTAATAGAGAGTAAGTACATTCACCTCTACTTATGAGATAAGTTTTCTTAGAGTTTTTACGTTTAGCACGTATGAGTAAATGGAGATGGGGGTGGGAGAAGCTAGGTGCTTAGAGCAATGGCTTGCACTAGAGTAGCATATGCTGAAATGGACAAGCAGCACAGCAGAGTGGAGACAGATATGGGCTTTGGAGTTATACACCTGAGTCTGAATCCCAGCTCTGCCATTTTGACTTGTTTTTTGATACTGGGAAAGTTATTTAAAGTTTCTGATCCTCAGTGTCCTCACTATAAGCCTCACAGAACTGTTATAAAAATTATATGAGATAATACATGTAATATGTCTTTGGGATAAAAAAATAAACACTTAACTTTAATTCTATAGTTATTATAGATATCAAATGTTTTTATTGAGGTATAAT